GGCGTGTTGGCTACTTCGGCTTTCGGCACAAGTCTGGCTACGACTGCACTGAACAGTTCAAGAGCAACATCAAACTCAACTTTCTTGATTCGCTCTTTGACCAACTCACGCAATTGCGGTCGATGCGGCTCCTTTGCTGACTTGTCGCGTTCCGGAAGGACGGACATCGCAGGCGCATGCCGGATCACAGGCATTGTCGGCTCGCCCTCGCGGGCGGCGCTGGTTGGCTTTGCACTCGATGCGGCTTCAGGGTGCTCGGATCTGGTTGTGATGAGACTGTTGTCTCGAGCACAGCCTTCTTGGCAGCTGATCTTCATACTGCTGGGTTAGGGCCTTTCGGTCCTGGCTGCCGAGCATGACCCACATGTCGGACGGGATATCGGGAGGCCTTTTGGATCCGGCCTTCCTACGGACGAGCCGAACCCCATCCCACACATAGCCATCGGGTACTGGTGACCCATCAGGCATTCTGCTTGGGTCGAATGCACCGCCTTTGTCAGGCACGACTGGCTTGATCTTCGCCTCGGATTTCTCCGATGCGGCAGGTTCCTCGATGTGGGCTTGCCCACGCTCCAACGGCACAGGATCGTTTCGTGTTCTGGCATCAGCAACGGGTGGATGAGATGCAGGGTCTTTCAACAACCTCATCGGAAAGATGAACTCATCGGTCGGAAGCTCAATGTGCTTTGTTCGCTGTACCGTGAGGGACGCATGTTCGATATGGTAATCGAGTCCTTCTAGCTTTGCAACAAGGAATTCCCCTTTCCATGCGAACCCAGGCTGAATGTGGTACCCGAGAAACACGCCCTCATTTGATGTTGGCGAAGTCTTGCCTGCCTGATTGTCAGCTCATGCAGGGTTGTTCCAGAACAGTACCTTTGCTCCGAAAGGTATCTCAGCTTCATCAAAGGTCTTGTGAAACCTGAGGTACCATGGCGAATCGTTTCCGTTCAACTGTGGCAGGATGTTGGTTGCAACTGCATTGTGCTGGATTGCAAATGGCCACATCGACAGTGGGAACCCTGACTGAACAAGATTCGCACGTGCTCCCTCCAATAGATGTCTGATTTCCCTTTCCACGAAGGATTTGGAAGAATCAACATATTCAATGGAGGTCTGATGACGGTACCCCAACTGCTCTATTGCGGCTTTCAATTCCCGGGAGTTATCGGTGTAGAGAACCTCAACCTCATCCCTTCCGGAAATGAAATGCTGGATCCCTGCAACGGATTGCTCCGTGCTTTTGCTGGTCGACGGATAAACATACCTGAACTGCGTATGCACGTCCTTGATCACAAGAGCACACCATTCACCTTTGATACCTTGCTCGATGTTGGCCTTGAGAATCACATGATCAGCAATGATGTGATCTCCAAACGCTTTCGTCTCGAGCCTTCCCTGCCCGCCTTTCGATCTTGCATATGGGGCAAGCATCTTGGCACGTTGGCAAGTGCGGCAAGAAGGATTCTTCGGATAGTGTACAAACAGGCGCTCTTTGATACTTGCTTCGGCAACCAGATCTTGCTCTTTGCGGGATCTCACAAACCGCTCAACTTCATCGTCGGGATCATCACCTTCGTCGATGCCTTCGTCATGAACCGGTGCAGGCGCTGGCTTGGATGCTGCTACTGCACTCAACGATGGCTCAGCTTCACAACTAGAATCCATGTATGGCACAGGACCGTCAACCTTGAGCTGGATCAGAGCACCATCAGGGCGAACCATGGTTGGCGCCTTCCCGGATTCCCAATGGAAGGAATATCCTTGATCCAGGCACTTCACACCCAGCGACAGCACTGCGGGAGAACTCTCGAGGATGTAAGGCTGAGCAGGCTCACACAATGCATCGACATCGATGTCGGCGATTTCGGAAGCAGTGATGTTTCCGTTTGCAGTCACAAGGCGAATAGGCTGAGGAGCCTGTTTTCGGATTGCCTTGGACGCATTCCTCAGTGCAGCTTTGCTGATGAGGTCCTGCTCACTGCCGGAATCAATGAGCCACACGTCCTTTCCCTTTGGTGCAGGGGTGGCTGCCCTTGGCGCTTCGACATCCTTGCGAACATCGTGAGGCGGCATGGCAATTCTCAGGCACTCATCACACGATAGGCTTGAGATGGAATCGGATTCCACATCGCACATGAAACCACAAGCGGGCTGGGCTCCATTCTCAATGGCTTTGATTACGGCATTCAACTGGTTCGCGGCCTTGCGTGCCGCCTTGTTCGTCCCTTTGGTCGGCCTGGGGCAGTCCTTAGCACTTGGAAACATCCTGTTGTACTGCCGTTCCTCATACTCAAGCTTGAAACCATCGCCTTCGGCGGGGATCCCATGCACATGAGCATTAGTGTCGAATGACACTCCGATCGGATTGATCGGCTTTGCGAACATGGCGTACCTGGCGCAGACTGCGGCGGCTTTGGCCTTGGGCTTAGGCTTAGGTGAATTAGCACGCTTCTTAGCCGCAGGGTTAGCATTGGCCTCGTTGCTCGATGCCGCGGCGGCTGATTTGCCGCCCGTGGAGGCATGGCTAAACTTGCATTTGTCACCTCTAGTGCACTTCCCTTGGGCAAAGAAAGAGCACGGTGCTTTCTCTCCTTTATTGCCTTTGGGGGAACTCGGCCTGCCACGGGTCGCGGAGCGTCCTCGCGGCTCCTTGCGGTGCGCGTAAGGGCAGTTTGCCCCCCTCGTGCACGAGCCCTTCTGGAAGTCAAAGCAGTACTGTTCCTCGGTGTCCTTCGGCTTAGGTGCGCTCTTTTTCTTGGGGTCCCTTTTTCAGGGGCGGCGGCACCAGCCTTGGGCGTCGGGGCTTTACTGGCATTGACTTTGGACACGCGCTCTCGGTTCTCGCGAAGCCTATCCCTCTCGATTAGATCCCTCATGCAACGCATTAGGAAATCGTACGACTTGTTGGGATCATCATCACGGCAACGATCATATGTGTCAATGTCGTACCGCAACAGATGGCAGCTTCTCACTTGGCGAAGCAGGATGTCTTTCAACACCTTTTCTTCTGGCGGCCTTTTCATGCCGGCGATCACAGAATCCCAAGCGTTTAGGAAACGCTTGAGATCAATGATTCCTTCGCCGTGTCGCGAGACACGCAACAGGTCCTCCAAGGAGTAGAGGTTTCCGGCTTCTTCACTGGTCTTGAAATATTGGTCAAACATAAACAAGACCTGCCTTCCTCTCATGGCCTTTCACTCCTTGGCACATTCTTCCTTTGCTGTCAGGATTCGCTGAGCCAGATCGCCTTTCGCTGACCGCGTGAGCGCTGCGAGAATCTTCGTGTCTAGAGTCACGAATTTTCCCGGTTCGCCGAGCTCCTCCAACAGCTTTTTCTTGTCCTCGCGGTCAGACCAAACCTCCATGATCCAAGGCCAAGCCTCGTCTGGACGGTCAGATGCAGCGCGGACATCCTCACGAACCGATGTCTTCCATTCACGGTACGTTTCAGGAGTAGGCATCTCCTTGAATCGCAACGTCTCGCTTTCGCGGGTTCTGGGCTTTTCATCGTTCGTGTGGCCTTTCACTAACTTCATCAACATTTTGGCGAAGGCTTCTTGACCGAGGTTAGGCCCGAGGCCATCACCTTCGTCTTCATCACCTTCGCCATCGCCATCATCATCAGGTGGCGGACCGCCAGGGGGCTTACCACCCTGCTTACGGTCAGTTGGCATTGGCCCCTGAGAGAATTGCAGGGGCGGGACCGGTGCACTTGTTTTCACCGGGGATCGGCTGCTACCTGATGGCTTTTCAGCTGGTCCTTGCGGATCGCGAGCATCTGCAGACAGTGCTTCGCTTTCGGCAGTTGGAATCACGCTGGGGGTATATTCAACCTCGTAACCGTCATAGGTAACAAGCGACCTCAACTTTTCCTTTGCATATTGAAATGGATTGGACATCGGGTCCAACATTGACCTTTGGGACCGAGCTGATTTCATGTCGTCGGTCATCAACTCTGGTGAATCCTCTCGGGTATCACCTACCCCTTTGGGCTTCGATCCAACCTCGCGGAGGTCGTGTTGCTTCTGATACCTCTTCAGCTCATCGAGCTCGTCCTGCAGAAGCCCGTTTTGGTAGGCCATCATGTCAATCATCCTGGTGTTCTTCGCTTCGACACGAGCTGTGTCATCGGCGTGCTTGGCGGCTTGCTCATGAAGGAGCTGCTGGGCCTCCGCCAGGGTGGATTCGATGGCTTGCCTAAACTCAGATGTTTTGTGTCTCATTTCCACTTCATGCGATGCTTGGGTGTTTTCCTCACACACTTGGCTTATCCTAGCTTCGGCGAAGTTCACTTCTTGGATGAACTCATCGCTCACTCGCTGTTCGTATTCACGAATCCTATGCGACTGGGCTTGCACACATTCAGCGTAGTGTGCATGCAGCTGATTCTGTGCGACACGGAGCTCCTCACGGTTTTCCGCTTGCAAATGCGTGACAGCTGCTTGATGCAGGGCTTCGGCTTCAGACCTAATGGCTGCATCATTCCCAAAAGCAAAGATTGCGGTATTGTACAGTTGAAGGGAATTCATCAGGGTGCGGTTATACTGCCCATTGGCGCTTGGCGCGAACATTCGCGCACCGCCGCCGGTGGCGTTGTCGGAGCTAGCTCCGACAGCATCCACAGGCATGTTGGATCCATCAACAGGCACAAGGGAACCGTCCATTGCTTAGAGCTAGGGGCCTACGGCTGATAACCTATAGATTCAAGGGTTACCGGTTTGGGGCCCAAAAGAAAACAACAAACCGTCCAAGTGCGCTGCTCGCACATTTTCACGCTTGAACAGCCACACTGCGGATGCAACGGATGTAAAACCCCATAATGACCGATCAAATTCTTCACATTAGTTTCCCCTTGAAACAATTCCAAACAAGCTAGCCTCCATTGGGGGTTCTCCCGAAGAATGGTTGGTTTCCTTTTGGTTTCTCCTCAAATACCCACAAAGAGCGGGCCCGGCATTTTGAGAAGCCCTCATATGGGCCATGGTGTGCCAAGCGGCCCTTGTACTTCTCCGAAATGGACCACGGCAGGTACCCGGTGGTCTTCTCGAAGGGGAAGGGCTCATCAAAGGACATGGCGGCACCTTTTTGGGCGATGTGGTTTGCTGGACCCAGCCGGTGGAACTTGGGTCTTTTTTGGTGTTGCGTTTTTCCCTTCAGCACGGATGGTGCCCCAAAAAACGCCACACCCATTTGCAGGGGACCCCTGATGTTGGCACAGCGCTGAGACTTGGCAGGGAAAGGGCCCAATGTTCATGCAAACACTTGATTGCTTCCTGGACTGCTTCCAGTGGCGTCCCCTGCCAGTTTCCCAAACGTTCCCAAAACGGCTGCCCCCAGTCCCTCCCCCCTCCCTCGACTGCAGAGTCCTTGCTATGCCCTGATTCTTGGGTTCACCCCCGACTCCTGGTTTCGCTCACAACAGGCTGGAAACCTAAGAAACCTGACCAGGCCCTCAACCCCACCCTGCCGCGCCCCGACCGCCCCGACCGCCCCAACCGCCCCAACCGCCCCAACCGCCAACCGCCCCGGCGGGCCGAGGCACAAAGCGTCGCCATGGCATCGCCCAGGCCAAAGAGCCAGTGCCCCATGAGCAGGGCCAAGCCCACCTTGGCGCGGGCGCTGTGCAGCTATACGCCAACCATATCTCTGCCATGGGGTTGGCACTGGGATGTCTCCCCAAAAAGTAGGTTGGTTCCCTTTGACCTCCCTTTCCACACGGGCACCATGCCCAGCTCCATCAAAGACCAGCTGACCAAATGCTGCGGGGCGGTGGCCAACAAAGTTGGGAGGGTGACGCTTCAAGTCAGAACTCTGATTGGGCCCATTGCTAGTTGTTGGAGGAGGGAGGTCCGCGACGGCTTTGGTACAAGAAGTGCTCCAGAGCTGTGTGAAGACACAGTTGCAGGAAATGACAGCAGATGATAAGCCGCTGATGCGTCTTGCTGTGTCTCTTCTGTTCGGTTTCTGCATCGCTGGCTGCCAAAGAGAACTTCAAATCCGGTTGGCCCAAAGGGTCATGTTTTAAGCACCTGAAATGGGAAACCTGACGACGCCTAGAATGAGAAGGGCCTTGGGAGAAGGCTTCGTGCCGAAGGGCGTGAGGGTCCAGCGGGAGCCTGGCCAAGATCCGGCCCAAGTTTGTGAGCTCCTGGTCCTCATCGATTGCCCTGCGCTTCAGCCGGGGGTTGGGCAGAGAAAATGGATATGGTGACAAAGGTCCCAAATGGCACTCCTACACATGGTTCTCTCTCTCTCTCTCTCGCTAAAATACGTTGATACTTTACTTCTAGTGCAAGTGTTGTTCAGTTATCACAAACACAAATGTAGTCAGCCAGCATGCACTCTTTTCCTGGTAGACTCAAGGCCTGCAGTCGGGTAGTGTACATCATGCATGCACAAGTGACAAGTAGTGCAACATGATATTTGACACGGCCCCTTGGTTAAAAGACCTTGTAGTGTCCTTTAACCATAGACCCAAAAGGTGGTATTGACAGTAGTGGCAAAAACGAATGCACATGTTGTTTGCCGATGCTACTGTAGCGAACAGGCATGTAGTCTCTTAAAAAAGATGACCGAAGGTAGGTATCTACAGCGCTGCTGTCTGTAGTTCAACTAACCTTCAAATGATCAGAAAAGTGAAATTGCTGTACAAGAACCCTAGTTGGTTCTCAGTCATCTCGTAGTACGATGACGTAGTACAGCACGTAGTTGCAGCTCCACCTGGAGATCAGGTGTGCTTAGTCCAGTGTTGGACTCGGTAGTTCTGGACTTGGCTGATGCGGTAGTCCAAGCCTGCATAGTGGTTGGTAGTGAATGTGTTGAGGAAGTCTGGACCGCCACGAAGGCGGTTGTAGTCGCATTCCGGTGGTGCAAGTGCTTGGCCGGTGGTAGTGAGGTAGTTGTGGAGTAGTAGTTTGTGTTGCATGGAAAGATTTGTAGCCGTGAGGAGGGTGATGCCGTAGTAGGTGACACTTTTGTGTAGCATCGTGTTGATGGACTTGTAGTGGTGGTCTTGAAGTTGTTGTGGTTGGTCGAAGTAGTTGAGTAGTTCTGGTAGGTACAGGGGCATGTGATAGTTCCAAATGAAGTTGTTGGACAGGTTGAATGTAGTGGTGATCTGGTCCAAGTTGTAAGTGATTCGGTGTAGTCGTTGATGTAGCTGGCGTGTAGGTAGGTGGTGCTCATCTTTGATGGAAATCATGTGGCTCACGTAGTCGCGGCAGAAGTTGACGAGTTGTCCAGCGCTGACAAATCGTAGTAGAACTTCTGGTGGAATGTGTAGTTGGATGATGACCATCGAGTTACTGGGTTGTGAGGTGTAGTGATGTAAGGTTGTAGTAGTAGAAGTTGACTGCCTCTGAAAGACGTAGGTGAAGAGGTAGTGAGTCGTAGTGTGGCATCCGTAGGTCTGAAGGTAGGTCGTGAACTGGTAGGTTGTAGTTGAGCTCGGGGATGGGTGTAGTTTGTTGTTGACTTAGTAGTTGGAACTCCTCGAGCGTCAAAGCCGCGTAGACCCTGAAGTAGTTCTGCTCCGGGTCGATCGCTGGAGTGTCGGGGATGTTGTTCTCAGTTGTAGTGAGGTGTGCCAAGATGTCGTCGGGTCTGTAGAAAGGTGCCGGTGTGGGTAGTTGGTGATTGAAGTTGTAGTTGAGGGAGTTGTAGGCCTCAGGTGGTGGAGTGGCCAAAGTAGCCATGCTGCCGGAGTCGGTAGTGCCCTGCCGATCCGGTGGTGTGAAAACACGGTCCGGTGTAGTACTGCCAGCCTGTTGTTCGACGGGCAGAGTAGTCTCTGGCGCTGATGTAGTAACCTCCATCGGCATGACATCCAGCGTAGTCGCATCCATGGGCGTAGTTCCAGCCATTGCTGGTAGTTTGGCCTATCGAGATGCAGTGAAACGGGGCAGACAGTAGTGAGCCAATGTTAGCTCACAAAAGCACATGCGGGCATGTAGTAAAACACAAAACAACATGTAGTGTTGACTCAAGCCGCCAAAAGCCGCCAAAAGTGCAAGTGCAAATTACTGGTGGTTACAATTACTATTACTTGTAGTCACTGTTACTGTTACTGTTACTTAAATGCAGGTAGTTACATATGGCCATATACAAACTGTTGTGATTGATGTGCAACAGTTGTGAAACAGTTGTTGTTCGTAGTGCTAAACACGTATGCCAATGCTCTGTATGAGCCTCTGTAGTGTTTCTTTGCTAATGTATTTTGTGAACAAGTTTGAGCTGTTGTGTAGTGTGTTGATTTTGAGAAGTCTGATGATGTCGTGCTTGATGAGGTCTTGTGTGTAGAGAAATTTAAGGTCGATGTGTTTTGCTCGTTTGCTAGTGCCTTGTCGTGTAGCAATGCTCTTGCCTGCCTGCTGTGGAGTCTGTGTGGGTGCGTAGATTTAGCTTGCTGCAATGTTGGTTTCAAGTAGGAAGTTTCTGAGGTGTAGTCCCTCATTGACTCCTGTGCAAATGGCGTAGAGTTCAGACTCTGCTGAGCTGAGTGCTATTGTAGCTTGTGTTCTGCTGCCAAGTGCAACTGTTGTTCCTAAAAAGATGATGTTGAAACCTGAAGTTGACTTCCTGGTAGTAGGGCATCCTGCCCAGTCGGCATCGACATGAACGTCGAGATCCAGGATGTTGTTAGTGTTTGCTCTGAGTGTTGTTGTTGGTTCTATGGTGAATTTGTAGTGCTTGGTGCCGTTCAAGTAGCGTAGTAGATGTTTGACTCTCTTTTGTGAGAGCTCTGTAGGTGCTGTGAGGTCTCGTGCTAGTTCTTTTGTGGAGTATGCGATGTCTGGTCGTGTGTATGCTAACCACTGTAGTTTGCCAACAATCCTTCTGTACCTTTTGTGTTGTTCGTGGTCAAGTAGTGTTTCATCTTCTATTGTCGGTTTGTAGTGTGCAATTCCTGGAGTGTTCACTGGGTTGCAGTTGTTCATTCCAGACTCCTCGATCATGTTGTCGATGTAGGAGTCCTTTAGTCCCAGGTTGCAGTAGTTGCCAAAGTGGTCGATGTTTCTTCCAAGAAATTGTTGTGGTTTGCCAGGTTCGAGGTAGCCGATGTGCTTGAGTAGGACCTGCTTCTGGATGGCCTCGAAGGTGGAGTCGACAGTAGTCTTGTCACCAAGTACCAAGAGATCATCCACGTAGACCATGATGTAGCAGTCGCGAGTTGCATTGGTGTAGACGTTAGGTTCTGACTTTAGTCTTACAAAGCTGAGCTTTTGTAACACTTCAGCCAGGTAGTCCTGCCATGCTTTTGGTGAACTGCGTAGTCCATACATGGCTTTCTTTAGTCGCCAGATTTTGTCCTGTTGTGGACAAAGTTCTTTAGGTGGCCAAAGGTAGACGTCACGTTGTTTACCGTCGTGGTCTTTTGCGATGGGTGCGTGTAGAAATGCTGTAGAGACGTCGCCTAGTCGCGCGATCCAGTTTGGTCGTGACATTTGTAGTGCGAGAAGTGTCCGGAGTGTCGTGAACATTGGTGTAGAGGCGTAGACGGAGTCTTCGTCCTCGATCTTCTCTGTGTAGCCTTTTGCGACGATTCGACTTCGCACTCCTGGTCCTTTCTTCCTGTGTACCCATCTAGTAGGTATCGCTTCTCTTATGACGTTGTCGTCGACGGTAGACGCATCTACTTCGTCGTAGACGTCATGTAGCTTCATTTGATTTGACTCGTGTTTCATTCCTTCCAGTAGTTGTGTTTCGTCGTAACCTTCGTTGTCGAAGATTATGGGTTGGTCTTCTGAGGTGTCGTCGTTTGTGTAGGATGTGATGAATTTGCCGTTGGGAAGTGTCACTGCGTTAATTTTCTGTCGTAGTGGTGGTGGTTCTTTGGTTGCTTGCTCCGTTGATCTGATTGTAGTGTCCTTTGAGGTCTTCTGTGCTTTTGTGGGTTGCATTACTTCTTCCGGAGTTAAACGTCGTAGTGTTTGTCGAGGTGGTGCTGGTAGTGGTGGATGTTGTCGTCCGGTTGGTGAAGTAGCCATCGGACTATCCGGTAGTGGTCGTGAACTTGACGTCGATGTTGACGGAAGTCGTGGAGGTGGTGTGGTGCGTTGTTGTTTTGTTGCGGGTTCCGCAACGATGTCGTCCGTAGCGTTCGTTTGTTGTCCGAAATCTTGCGTGGACCTTCTTTTCTCTGACGGTGGTAGTTGCGCATCCAACAGTGTTGCGAACGATGGGTTGTAGGTGTTCCGTCGTGGTGCCCACGGTGTGCCGGAAACTTTGTTCAATAGTGCGAGGTCGTATTTGAAGTCCGGTTGTAGTCTCCGCACTGTTCGTACCTTTTGTACGCCTGATTCCGTTGCGACGTAGTTTTCTCCGGTTTCGGAAACTTTTCCGAGCCAGATGCATTTCTGCATCCGTAGGTCTGCTTTTGGGAGTTTCTTGTGTTGTGGTGGAAGGTAGAGTAGTGTCTCGCCAAATTCGCAGATTGCTCGCTCGTAGTTTCTTCCCCAGCGGCGTTCGAAGCTTGTGTAGCCGTCTGAGTGAATGACGTAGCGATTTACCGTCCATGCTGCGTGTCGTACTATCCAAGGTAGTAGACAGTGCTTTGTGGACATCGTCATGCTGTAGTTGCTTTCAACCTGAGCTTTGACGACGCGGATTTGTCCGAGAAGTGTTCTATGTAGTCGCTCAACGCTTCCTTGACTGTTGCTGCTGTAGGATGGTGAATGTCGTACAGTCATTGAGCCGACTTTAGATGCTGTTGCTTGTAGTAGTGCATTGAGTGTGTCTTCGTTGTCGCTTTGTAGTATGCCGTGTGTTCTTCCGCATTCAAAGATGAATGCTTGTAGGTTGTTGATCATGTAGTCCATCATTGATGGTTTGTCCGGAACCAATACCGCCATGCACAGTTGTGTAGTAACATCAACTGCCGTTAAGACTGGTATGGTCTTCGGATCTTGTTGTGATTTGATGTAGGCAAAATCCACTTGGATGATGGGTTGTCGTGATTGTTGTTTCTTGTAGTTGTCCTGGCGTCCTTTGCCTTGAACGCAAATTGGACACCAATTTCTGTATGGTAGGTGTGTCAAGTTGTGTTCTGCTATTTGTTGTGGAGTGGGCTGCTGAGGTTGTCGTAGTCCTATTGCTCTGTGTGCTTCATGATGCTCGTGTTGTTGTTCCTCATCGTGGTTCTCCTGGATGTACTCGTAGTCTTTCTTCACGGTGAACCTTGTTGTTCCTTTCCATTGAAATGGTAGTGCTGCGTTGCCCATGACTGTCCAGTCATCTTTGCGTTGGGAAACTTCTCCAAAGTTGTTGTGAGTGATTGTAGTTCTGTAAGGTTCGAGTGTGCTGATTGGTGGATGTCCTGGTCCATCTGTTGGAGTGAATAGAGTTGTTCTAAGTGATGTGTGGTGTCTTATCCAGTGTTCACCTTGTCTTTCCCAGTAGTCTTGGTTGTCCTCCTGTGCTGTGAGTGGTCTGTGGATTGTCTCCTTTGGTTGTGTGGTGTCAAGATTTGTAGAAGGTGCTGCTTTAGGTCTCCATATCTTTTGTGGTGCTCGTAGTTGGATCTTTGATCTGGTTGGTGGTGTGTCCATTAGCCGTTGTGGTTGTGAGCTCTGCCTTGTTGGTGTTGTCTTTGATGTTGCTCTGCGTGTAGGTGTTATCTTTCTTCTGAATCTGGTTTCTCCAGTCCAGTTGTCACCTTCTAGTCTTCGTTGTAGTTCTTGCTTGGAAAGTTGTGTTGGGTTCTCTTGTAGTTGTTCTTGCTCTTGCCCTTGTCTGTTGATGATGGTTAGTCGCCAATCATCTAGTTCTTCTTCAGGTATTGGGCAACCACTGTTGTGTGGTGTGAATAGTGCTTTGCGTGGTCGTTTGTGTACTCTGATGGCGTAGTCACCATCAAGTTTCCAGTAGTCAGTGTTTTCACCAAGGATCTGTCGTAGTCCTTGGTCTGTGTGTGTGAGTGGTGCGATTTGTTCTTGTTGTTGCGCTGCTCTCTCTGTAGGTTGAATCACAGCAATGGATTTTCCACTGTCTGCAATCATTGGATAGATGTCGAATCCTGTAGGGATGTCGATCTTCTCTGCTCGTAGGTAGAAAAGTCCTGAGTGTCTGATGAGGTGTGCTTGTTGTTGTCCATGTGTGATGGTGCAGTGTCGTGGAGTGAAGTCAAGTCCATATCCTCTATCAAGTAGTCTTGATGCACTGAGGATTGGGTACTTCACATCACAAACGTAGTAGGGTATCATGATCCTGAAGTTGTCCTGCTTGTAGGGAACGTACTTGATGCCGTAGACAGGAATCTTCTTGTTGGTAACCGTGTAGAGTTGTGGAACCGATTCTCCACAAGGTCGTAGCGGTAGGTCTGGTGCGTAGTCCTTCGGGCAAACGTGTGTAGACGCTCCTGAGTCGATCAGCAGGTGGTGGTATGACTTGAAGTTGGAGTACATGATGTAGTGTGTGATAGTGTTCTCAATCTTCTTGTTCCTTTGTTGTTGTCTGGCTGCTGCTATATCAAAGTGTGGCTGTGTGTTGTCTTTTTGTAGGAATTGTTGAAAGCTCTTGCTGTGGTCGTTCCATGATGTTGTGTGTGTTGTTCTCTTGCCAAGTAGTGATTTGTGCTTGTGTAGTCGTGCGTTTGCTTGTCTGATGTGTCCAATTGTGAGGTGTGACTTGCCTCCAATGTAGTTTGCAGTGTCCTCATAGCTGTTGTCATTCCAATCCCAGCTGTTGTCATAGTCGTAGTCGTTCCAGTTCTCCTCCATGTAGTTCACCTCGTGTTGTCCTTCTTCTCCTTCGTAGTACCAGTCCCAAGCGTCGTTCACATCCTGAGGTAGTTCTTCATTGTTGTCGTGATGCGCTTGTTCTTGTTCTAGTGGATGTAGTTCTTCTCCTTCTCCTATGTGCCATACTGGCACTCTGCAGACTTGTGCCCAGTGGCCTGGTTTGCCACATCGATGGCATGTTGTGTAATTGTTGTTTCCTTTTCCTTTTGATTTGCTGTAGTTTCCTTGGCCTTTGTAGCCTTTGCTTGATCCATGTCCTTTGGATCCTGAGTAGCCTTTTCCTTTGTTCTTGTTGTATCCTCCTTTGTTGTAGTTTCCTTTGCTGCCTTTGTCGAATCCTTTGTAGTGGCCTTTGCTTCTGTACTTACGTTTCCTTTGTAGTGTCCTTTGCCTCCATATTTGCCTTTGCCTTTGTAGTTTCTTCCTTTTCTCCAAATGTTGTCCACGTCCATCGGTGCTGTCCCACCATTGTAGTTTGTGCCAACTGCTGAGCTCGCTCTTGAGAATGCAGAGATGGTTTTGTAGTAGTCCAGGATGACAACTCTGATCTCGTTGTAGTTCGTGATCTGTCCAGCACGTAGTTGGAGATGCTGTTGGAGTGCTCCTTTGGTCTTGTTGAGTAGTATTGCAATCTTTACTCCATCTGGTAGTGCTGTGCCGTTGTCTTTCTCGTAGCGGTTGATGTCGTATTCCCACTGTAGGAATTGTTCTTCAAATTGTGCTTCATTGAATGTAGGTTCCAGTAGTTTGGTGAGGTAGCCAACACTGCGTGTTCCTACTGGTAGGCTGAACCTGTTGTGCAAAAGCCGTAGTGTTTCACATCCATTGGCATTGTAGCGGTTTTGTCTAACCACTGTAGCTGCTGCTCCTTGGCAGACGTTGATGAGAATGTAGTGTAGATCTCGTGAGAGGTCTACTGCTTTTGCTGCCTGTGTAGGGTCGCGTATGTGGGCTCTGATGTCTGCATCTTCAATTTGTCTTGTAGCTGCTTGTGCTAGTTGTAGCACCATGTCGAAGTCTCGGTCGATAAGTCCGAGATATGCTTGTAGTTTGAACAGCCACTCTTCATACTGTGAGTAGTCACCAGTGAAGAATGGTGGTGGCAGTTTGTATTTGTGTAGCCTTTGGACGTCTTCCTGCTCCTGTGTTGTTCCCGTAGTTGCGGCTCCTATTGTCTCTTCTGCTGTGGGCCCGTTGTCTGCTCCTGTAGTTGGTTGTGCTGATGCTGCTGCTGGTTCTCCTGACATGTCGTAGTAGTTGGGCATGTTGGTTGCCTGTGCAGTTGTAGTACTTGCTGCTGCTACTGGAGCTCCCCTATGTTTAGGATCTCAGCTCCGCTACCACGTTAAAATACGTGGATACTTTACTTCTAGCGCAAGTGTTGTTCAGTTATCACAAACACAAATGTAGTCAGCCAGCATGCACTCTTTTCCTGGTAGGCTCAAGGCCTGCAGTCGGGTAGTGTACATCATGCATGCACAAGTGACAAGTAGTGCAACATGATATTTGACATCTCTCTCCTCTCTCTCTCTCTCTCTCTCTCTCTCTCTCTCTCTCTCTCTCTCTGCCGCACGACATGGTTGCAGAAAATCCGCCGACCCTCTGCCTCCCGTTCCAGCCTCCTGCAGAGGACCGGCGTGGGATGCAACTGGAAGTGATTGGAATCAATGATGGTCCCTGAAAAACACGCCCGAAAGTACAAAAAGTGGATTCCCAGGACCGGTCCTGGGACCAGTCCTGGGACCAGTCCTGGGACCGGTCCTGGGACTGGTCCTGATTACTTGCAGGCAGCCAAAACCGGTCCGGGACCGGTCCCGTCCCCCCCATCCCCAGACCGGTCCTGAGACTGATCCCAGAAACCCAGGTTTGGTCCCAGGACCAGTCCTGGGTCCCAGGACCGGTCCTGGAACCGGTCCCAGAACCGTGGGACTGGTCCTGGGACTGGTCCCGGCCAGGACCGCTTTCAGGACTGGTCCGGTCCCAGCTGCTGGTATCGGATCCCACTTCAAACCGCTGCAGAAACCCGGTGCCACCTCAAACAGCTCCAGACACCTGTTTTTTCAGTGTCGCTGTTTCCGGACTGGCACCCGTGTTTCAGGACCGGACAGGGTCCCAAGTCCCAGTCCCTCCCTGCGACCGGTTGAGGGGCACCGGCGGCCTTGTTTCTAGGACCAGCTCAACGTGACTTGGGCGCGAGCCACTAGGGGCACTGTCGCCGGGGCAGTTTCGGGAGGGCCAGTTTCAGGGCGACCCGGGACAGGCGACTGCTCGGGCCAACTAGAAGTGACTTGGGCGCAAGCCGGCCCAAGCGGCAATTAACGGACTAGCTGCCATATTTCTGATGGTCGTAGAAAATCTTATAAGTGGTCCCTGGGTTTGCGGACGTGTTTCAGGACCGGTCCTTGTGACTTTTCCCTTACCTTAATGCGCCGAGGGTCGGCGGCAGCAGGCGGGAGCCTGGTTAATAATTACTTCTGTGATGCCAACGTGGCTGGCTCCCATCTCCATGACTTTGTCACTCTGCCTCTTCCATCAGGGGCAAGGAAACAAGGTGAATGCGACAAAAACACCAGCAAAAACAACATGAAGTCCTTTGGGCTGCAGGATCATCATGCTTTTCTCAAAAGGGACCGAGTCGCAGCAACCCTTGCTCAGGCTGGAGCGCCAGGGAACTAGCAGGACATCAACCACTGACAACCTCAAGCAAAACTCCAGGCCAAGTCGTCTTGAACATCTGGATCTGAGTTGTAAGCCTTCCAGGCGCTTCCAGGAGCCCACCCAAAACCCATGGAAGGGGGCCTTGCCATAGGGACTGCCCCCCACCATCGCAAATCCCCAGCCTTACCAGCTGCAGCTCGGCAATAGCATGCGCCACCTAGAGGGGCAGTCTGCAAGAAAAAGTCGTACCAGGGTGCTGAAGCCATGCGAGAAGCCAACCAAGCTTTCAAACACCAGCCAAATGCGTACTCTCATCCTTCCCAGAACAGCCAAGGAATCCTCAAAAAACAAGCCAGCTCTCAAAACTTGAGAAAAAAATTGCCCCCACCCCCCCCACCCCCCCACCCCCCCACCCCCCCCACCCCCCCTTTTGACTCTCCACCGGTCCCCGGTTTGGCCTGGGCCCCCCGGCCGCCGGCTCGGGCGGGGGGTCCGGGCACTGGGACAGCACCGTGGCGATGTCCCCCAGCTCCAAACTCTTCACCAAGAGCGCCGCGCCCACCTCGCGGATGCCAGCAACGTAACCGCGTAGCCGTCCGTTGCCATACAAATTTATGTGGGTGCGTCTCTTGGTGAGGGTACCCCTGTTTTGGTGGTTGTAGAGGAAAGCCACCCTCTTTGGGGGTCCCATAACGACAACATATATACTGCCATGGGTCAAAACCCAAAATTCCAGTTGGCCCCCAGTGAACTTCCGATTTAATCCAACCACTATAGGTTCTAAAATGGGTGGTGCACCGAAACCCCAAAATTGGTTTTGAACCATGGCCGCTTATGAACATCTGGCATGGGAGGGCATGCGCGGTTTTCACTCGTAGCAGCCAGGCTCTACTGGTCTTTGATTTGTTCAAGGGAATGTGATGTTGGCGCAAGAGATGGGGCCGCGTGTCTCGGGTCCCCGTCAAAGGGGACGGGAACAGGAAGGTATGGTTCACTCTCCACCAGTACCATCCAAAAGCGCTCAACCATCCAAGCGTAGATGTGCACAAAGGGGGGGGCAAGCTACAACTGCGCCCGTTGGCGGAAAACCCGCTTAAACTATCTAGAGGGTGATTGTGGGTCGGGTGTTAGGTGTAAAACTGCTTGGTAAATAGTAAAGGCGTCCAACCAAAACCGCAGCCTGGCGTATACCGGAATATCTTCTGCTTCGCGATGACATGGCACTAGTTGATCCTTCAAGGCCTTCTGGGTGAAAGCTAACATGGACCTGTGGACCGCTCCAGCCCAGCTGCCAGGGGCATGCGGGTCAGCTCTGGCGGAACCTCGTCCTCGCACGGGGATTGGTGAGATTCAATTTTACACAACACCACGCTGGCGCTTCGCAGATGTTGGAGAACAAAGCAACCAGCTCAAGCGAACAGCTCCCCACATCATTACAATGTCTGACAGGGCTCAGGGTCTCCTAACACCAAGCGATGTTAACACTATAGGGACATCAATGAGACACGCCAACATCAAGAACTCGAAGTCGAAGCGGACACCTTTCAATGCTTCAAAAACCAAACCCCACCTTCGCCCCGCCCCTTCCCGTCAAAGGCAAATCGAAAGCAGGTCGTTCACATGCATATGGTCCAGTGCCATGGCGCGAACCCAAAAAAGCACGGCCACTCTCCACAACGAGCTCGGCGTCCCCCCGCCTCCAGGCCCTCCTCAAAGCGCTGCCGCGTGCAGAGTCTGAAGCACAGGCCCGGCCGGGTGCGCCCCGCGCGGCCCTGCGAGAAAAGCGCGCCGGCGGCTTGATGGGTCATGAAAGAGTTGAGCTATACACCCGCGGAAACCATGAACCTTTAAGAAAATCCCGTGAGAATGTTTAAATAACCTAATATTGGCACTAGTTGTCTGCATTTGAGACCTGTTGGAAGCCTTTTGCGGCTCGCCAACGCTTTAGACCAGGGCCGCCTTTGCCGCCTACTTTGGGGCAAGCCTGGTTCTACAAGGTCAAAGGATCCTGGGCTTTCCAAAACGTCGGCTCCCAAACCTGCCTTCCTCTGCTCCAAATTGTGGCGGCCAGTGAAGACTATGTCGTTGTACCTCGCATTGCGCTCCCGCTTCGGAAATGGAAGGCCCCACCCCCCCAGCCCCCACAAGAAGCATTCTCTTACCAGGTGTTCCCAGGAGGTTCTTTGATGTCGAAGCGCGCATTTCAGAAAGGCCGAAAACGCTCTGTGGATCAAGCAGCAAGCATATCACACACCTGACAACAACGGGGCACGATAAGCGCGTAGTCTCCGAGAAGAAATTCAGCTTCACCTGCCCAGCTCGGGTATGGAGCTGTGGCCGCTAACATCCAATGAGTCCGAGAAGCTTTTTCCCGGCAAACATAGCAAACCAAACAAGACACGCCGTGACACGCCGACGTTCCCAGCCCGAAGCCCAGTCTCGGACCCGCGCCCGGCAGGAGTCGATCACCTCAGTCGCCCGCGCAAATGCTATGAATTTCAGGCTGGGCCCCGTCAGGGTTAATATTCGCCCACCATTTTTGGGTCTTCCCTACCAAAGCCCCCACCAAGCCATGCCGTGGCCCGGCCCCTAAACCGCTGACACCGGCTTCTGGCTTGGAAGTTCATCATCTCGGGCGGGTGGTGCAACGCAGTATCCAGACACCAGGGTCTGTGGCATGAAGAGCATATGCAAGCCTTGGGCACGCATTACAAGGGCCCACCCCCGCTGAGCACACTGGCACAAGTGACGTCGTCGATCGTGAGGGAAGACTCGGCAATGTTGGTCGCCAGAATCACCTCAGGCAAAAGGGCACGGGGACCCGGGGTTTAGGCAAGCCAACTCCTTGTTTACAAGCACCCCCCCCCGCCTCACCCATGAGCAGCGACATGGCTGAAAGCCTTATATATACATATATATGCATCAATAAGCAAAAACATATATGGATCCACACTATACCCCCATGAAGCCAGGTGGTAGGAGCACTTAGGAGCACCTAGCATGGCCCTTTTGGGGAGGGGCGGGGGGTTGGGGCGCTTTATACACCTTCCGATCGGAAAATGGATATCGCTTGGGCGCCTTGGCGATGCCCCTGGGGGCTGGCTGGAAGGCCTCCATCTGCGCCTCTTTGGGCACCTGCAGGAAACTGCCCCAAACCCGGGACGAGCTGGTGCTCCTTGAAGTCACCCAGTTGGTTTTCCTGGAAGTTTTGTGCAACCTTCATCCTCACCCAACGGCCCAAAGGGAAAGTCAATCAAAATGGGCCAAGGCGATGTGAGGTGAAACAACAGTTGTCTGCTTGTGCCCTCACATCACCCCAAAGGACGAAACTCAGATCGACCAACAAAGGAGGTACTCGAAACAAGGATCGCTGGGAAAGGAAGTGTGCTGCCCTCATGGGCGCCTCTTTGGAAATGGTCGTGCAGTGTGGAACCACAAGCTTGGAAGCCACTCCAGCTTCAGCTTCTCCAACAAGTTTAGCTCACTTTCAAGGGGAGACCCTTTGCACTTGCCTGCTCCGCATGTGCGTCCCAGCCCTTGATGAGCAAACAAAGTAGTTCTTTGAATAAAACGGTGCAGAACCAAGAAGCAAATACATCAAACATATGACAAACACGGACACGGTGTTTAGCACGCAGGTCATACGCGCACGTGCCGTAGCCAAACCTCCATAAGGATGTGGGAAGCTTAACAATGGCTGCCTTGCTCGGAATCTGTACAATGGTTGTCCCATCATCATCACCCAAGGGCCCGTGACCATTTCCCAACCGAGTCCAAGTGAGCAGTGCAAAAAAGCACCGACCTTTGGTTCTACTAGAGTGGTCAAGGACACACTAGCCGTAAAGCTAGCCACCGAAATGGCCAACAGGGTTTTCGAGTCGAGTCGGGGGAATGGGCCCACGTGTTCCAAATGGCACCTGGGAGTGCAACATGATGATCTTGCAGCTGCTCAAGGCCTGCTCCGCCTGACGAATGGCGAGGGATGGGCTTCGGTTAAGGCAACCTAAAAGAAGCCACCAGATCGCCAGAAAAAGGACACACCCGCACGTTTGGCGGGAGTTGCCCTCTTTCCAACAGTCATGCAAAAGGGCCTTTTTAAGATGATGGTAGTCTTCCAAAAGCCTCCTGGACATTCACAAACCTGAACTCAGAGACCCGACCAAGAAAGCGGTCGGTTTATCCATGCCAAGCAGAAGGTCCACGGCGAACTGTCTGTTTGCAACCAAGCCGACCTCAAAGGGCACCTATGGCCCATGGCCTTTCCCCATTCCTCATCCCTGTGCTTTTCGAGGGAAGAGGCGGCCCACAAGCCTCTAGGAGCTTCTTCAGCACACTCATTTTGGACCATGTGGGGAGGAAGACCAGGACCTCGGCAAAGTGCTTGGTAGCTTCCCTTTTCAGAAGAGGTGGTGCGAACATACTTGGGGGTGTTACGCGTGTCCGCAGCCGATTGAAGTGTTGGACTTGTTGCGTAGGCGGATGCTCAAATGGTTGATCCGGGAACGGAAAATGAAAGATGTGTGGATCTGTTCCAAACACTTTGTTTGCCGGCAGCAGTATGCCTTCCCAAAATGGTCAAGGGATTTCAAGCAATGGCTCACCTCGCCAGCGCCCAAAAGCGGTTTTTCCCTGCACTATCGGTTGACCTTGGGTGTTGCCGACATGGTCACAAAGATTCAAGATGGGCATTACAAAGCCATGGGCTATCTACAACCGCCACCAGCCAATTAGCAGGACCCCTACTAAAGTGGCCAACGGGTGTCGCAAGGTCCGAAAAACTCCGATGCCGGAACAGCGCCACGGCTGAGGGAGAGGCCGAGCCAGTCTCAGGTGACACCGTCCCCTCCGACACCAAAGCTGCCAGTAAGTCCTGGCACTGAGACAGTGGAGATCTTCAGCCCAACCCCAGTTGCCCTGGGCAGAACGAGCCTTTTTTGTACCGTTTTCGCGGGGAACCCAAAACCAAACCAGTGTTTAAGGGTTGGAATCCACTGAACAACTGGGCTGCGGTCAAATCCCCTCCCCAACACACCCCAACACACCCCCGGATGGGTCCCTGGTGAGCTCCAAGGGGATCTGCTGCTCCGGCAACGCCTGAAGCGCCTGGACGGTGGAGGCGGAGTACTTCCTCTGGTCGCAGGCGTTCATCGAGCCCTCCGACTCCTGAGGTTGGGCGCCCAGTTTGTCATGGGACCTGGTTGGGTGCCAGATCGCGACCGCGCAGTCATGTCAGTTCTCGTAGGGAAACCGAAAGGACACCAGGGGAGGGGGTGGCACAAAACTTGCGACAAAGCGACATCCCTCGCACGACATCTGAGGCATGGACTGATTTCATGTGACGGGCAAACGACTGGCAGAGGACAAACAGTTGATGCCCCAAAATGGAACCGAAACAGCGGAAGAACTTCGCTTGACAGGCCCATGGGCTCAGGACTCAGGCTCCTTCTCCTTCTTCCTCAGCGGGGCGGCCAGGCAAAGCTTACTTGATGCCAGCTGAGGGCCCAACTTCGGAGGTGCCACCCACCTCAAAGCCACAAGGCCGAGCATTCAGCACTATGGGAAAGACAAAATGACCACAACCCAGCATGCGGTCTTCAGCCTGCCTCATCTTCTCGATGATGTCTTCCAAGAACAGCACTTTGACCTGAATGCGGACATCCGTCAGCACTTGCCCAACTGGCGTGGTGGCCACATGCATTGGGAGCAGGTGCCCAGCCCTCTCCCCAAGCCCTTCTCTGGCAGGCAGATTTCAACCGCAAAAAAGTCGTCCATTAATTAGGGTTCCCTACATTGGTTGTTTTGCTGTTGGTTTCCCTCCAAAATCACCAAGACGGGCTTGGATGCCCCCCCCTAAGACAAGACACACACACACACACGGACATCTCTTGGTTTCCGGCATCGTAGTTGTGGCCATGCACCGACACCACTGGCACGGGCGGTATCTGCTGCGTGTAGTCATGCGCCAGGCCCTGCAAGTACTCCTGGAACTTACTGGCGTCGATGGTGGCCTCGTTCCAATCGCTGGAAACATGAACCGGAGGTGGTTTGTGGAAAACGCACATAGTCGCCAAACAAAGGCCAAGGTGGAAGGTCCAAGCAAATTGCAGCCAGTCCCCCTATTGTCTCTTGGAAGTGGAGCATGTATAGTTTGCAACAAGGAGCTAGCAACACCACCACTAGCCGTCAGCCTCTGACCTAGCCGTCAGCCTCTAGCTGCTCGCTGTGCCTGTTGGCTATGCTAACACATGTTTACAGTTTGGTAGCAAAAAGCATAAGAACGCCGAAAGCACGCAAGGCCCTTTGCATGTGAGCTCACGACAAATTAGGGTCTAATTGTTCGGCAAATGGTTGCGTGCATGAGGCCATTAAAAGTGAGGTTGCCACATGGCAGAATGCAGGCCTCAATCCCAGTTCAAGCACTGGTCTTAGAAACCTGCAAAACACCCAGGTTGTTTTGTGAGCCACACGATGAACAAAACGGGGTGGCACTTGAAAAACACAAAGCTCCGTTCCGTTCCCCACATTTGCCACAGACCCTAGAGAATCCAGAAAGCTGACAAATGCCCAGGCTCCGGCAGACATCAAGACCACCTGCAGCGAAGCTGAGTTACTGAGCTGAGCCACCGGACTGCCAAATTTGATAGAAGTGAATCCATTGAACCCGCGAATGGGCCAATCACGAAGCGCCATGCAGGGTTCCGCGCAATGTTCAAACAAAACTTCCCCGCGCATGGTTTGGAATGGTTACCATGGCTGTCCAAAATCGCATGCCCGAAGCAGGCCCACGTGTCCGATACGCCCTGCCTTCAGCCCCGGATGCACGGAAAGCGCGGACCGCAGCAGGCCCAGCAGCACATCCTCCGAAGATGAGAACCCAAACCCCTCCAAGCATGCACTTTGAGTCGGAATGCCCCAAAAGTGGCTGGTGGACGGATGTCCACCGAAGAGTTTGCCAAGATACTCAGGCGCCGTCACTGCATTTCCTTTGGAAAATTACCCCCTTTTGGATCAGAGTCTCGTTACTTCGATGGAAACACCTGTACGAACATGGTCCCTGGCACATGTGCTTCACGCTGATTGTTGCGCGGTCGCTTGTTTCATCAAATCGAAGGGCTGAGGCAAGGGCATTGTCCAGGTCCCGCTCGTGCACCTGCACGTAGGTCTGTCTTCTTCCAGTGCCCCATGTTGGTTGATTCAATCATTTTGGCTGGTTCAAACGGGAAACCAAAAGCAACCCCCGCCAGGTTTGCCATTTTGGACATCCCTCATTCCGAAGCAAACCCCGCGTCTGACTGGCTGCATCTGCCGGCCTCGTCCACTATGACATGAGAGATGCCACACAGGCCCCTCTGATGCAGCCGTTTCAGCAGCAACCCAGACCTCAAGCAATCAAACCAACTGCAAGAATCCTCGGGGTGACCTGCCCGTAAGTCCCAGCAACTAGAATCACTAGAACCAGTAAGCTCAGTAAGCTCGCTCTGGGTTTCGGCCAATTCGGCCTCGCCCCCAAGGGGAACCGAGCCAATTCTGTGGCTGGCTCTTCGAACCAAAAGCCCTGGATTCGCACAGCGTGGGTCCTGCGCTCGTCTGGGCTGAGGTGCCCGGCGTCATGTAGCAAATGCCACCCGGGCGCTGCGGCCACACCTCAAACCGGGCCTTTCAACCCGTCTCCTTCGCTTTCTCGACCCAAACATGGACCAGAGGGTCCCCGTCCAGAAGAGACTGGCATGCCGGGTCCGCTTTAGTTGGCTAGTTGGAACGAGGGCATCCTGTTCTGGGAGAAAACTCAACCCACGCACCCACCCCACCAGGTGACGACCCGACGACCCGACCACCTCCGGGCAGCCCCGGCCGAGTCAAAGCGCACAGCGTAGCCCACAGAGCCTCCGAGGGCCTCCCCTCGCTCTTGCGCCACACGCCGGGCTACCTCGGCCGCTGTCTGTATATATATATATATATTGATTTATTGATTTATTTATGTATTTAGTTATTTATTTATGTATTTATCTACATATTTATTTATTATACAGACAAATAGGTTTAGATACAGGTGTGTACATATATAGATATAGATATATATATATATATAAATGTCTACAAATACATATGGATACACATGCTGTTGAGTTCTCTCACTCTCTCTCTCTCTTGCGAGCCATCGGAAACTTGCTTACTTGAATTGATGGCTTGTTTTTCATTGTGTCATCAACCATCTATCAAGATTTGATAAGGGTTGATTTATGATTAGCTTATGAATGTGTTGATTCATGTAATGATTTGAAAGCCTGTTCGAGGTTTCGGGAATCAACCAAAAGCTTTATTGTCACCAAGTTCATGCTGGCCTGCCTCTAGTGGGCTCCTGGTTCTCAACTTGGCCGATGAACTTCCCTTTGAAAAGGAGTTAAATGGTTTTGGAAAAGATGCCCCATGTTCAACAAAAAACTCCTTTGGCAGCTTGCAGCCTGGCAAAGCACAAGTGGAAGAAACAGCCCTGAACAAAACTGCGAGGGTCCCCACGTTCAGGAGTTCCTTTTGCAAATCGCGTGTGAAAATCCCCATGCTCACTAGACTTGGGCACAGTCCAGTGCGGGATTGCTCTCATTTGCTGCCCAGCGCCAGACAACAGGAATGCTTGGACAGCGCAGGTTTGCAATCTATTCGTGCCCCGGGGAATTCAGGTTGCGAAGTATTCCTCACGGAGCCCCGCAGAACAACCGAGCAAAGGGCCCACACAGAAAACGGCTGTGCAACTTGTGTACATGCGGCCTGGCCACTGTGATTGCTGCCAGCCGGCGGGGCTGCGTGACAACAATCGTCTTGGGCCCTCCGTCGTCCTGTCTCAGTCGCCCAAGTCTCATCCACAGGCCTACAGGCCTGGTGCCAGTCCCTTACAAAAGTGGCATACAAGGGTGGGCCAATTTTGTTCTGAAACACGCTTCCTTCAGCCAGACCAACCTGCCAGCTTCATCGCTTAGTGTGACCCGGTCTATAAAAGAAAAAACATTTTGAGCAAGACACCACTCATGAGAAAGGCCAGCCCTGGACATGGTCCAAGGTCCCAGCATCAAACCTCTGGGTAGGTGCCCCCTGCGAAATATCACAGCCCAAATTCAGTGTGTAACCAGATTTTAGTTCTTGGGGGTACCAGCCAAGTGTAGGTGATTCGTTCCGTGGACTGTGGACCTAAAACTGACTCCAGCAGGGTCCTTTCAAGGTCAAGGTGGAAACTGACACTTCCAGTTTCATTGGAAATAGTTTGCCTTGTGTGGCCAAACACCTTCCAGCTCATGTGGGACTAGGCAAGTGATTGGAATTCCAGGGTTTTCCAAGGAACTTGACACCTTCCCATCTCCGACCAGGTTCCAACGTCCGCCTCAGCGTCCAGGATGTACTGCGGCACTTGGGTGGTCTTCCCTGAACCCGTGGAGCCCTGGATGATGCACACCTGCGATTTCCACGGCAAGTTACTGAAAAATGGGAGGCCCAAGAATCCTGCAACCACTTTGGGCCCAGTGCGAGAACATGTCATGGACATGTGGGGAAGTCTGCAGCTTGCACTGTTGGGGATGGGGGACCACTTTGGTAACCCCCAACCTGAAAATCCACGGGTTTGAAGCCTGTCCAAAGCTCTCGGAGACCGACCCCCACCTGATGGTTCGCCACTGCCTCGATGATCTCCTGGCGCTTTTGCTACAAACAATCCCTCACAACCCGCTCGTGGTTGGTGAAGGGTCATTCTGAAATGATCTTATTAAGAACAAGCAAGCGAGTTGTTGACGGTACCCTTTTGCGGTTTGGACATACGCCACGTCTGCCCACGTTGCAAACAAACACAGACTGAATACCGCCGGCCTGGTACTTGCTGGCAATGGGAAGGGACGCGCTGGCCTGAAGCAATGGGACATTGCACAAACCCAGGCATTCAACACTAAGTCATCATGAGCCACGAGTTCCTGCACCCCAGCAGCAAATCAGCCAAGTATCTGACAATCCTCATTAACCCTCACGCCAATAGATCTGCGTGAAGCGTCAGCCTGCCTCGGCCGCCACGGCGGCCGCCAACGTGTCCGGCTCCAGCTCACTCTTTGGCTCTGGCCAGGGGTCGGGCCCTCGCCGAGTGACCAGCCGAAGGTCGAGGGTGCACGCGTGTGGTGTATATATATATATATATGGACACACACAAACACAGACCTGCCCGTGTTCGGGAGCAGGGGTACCTGCACTGCTAACACTTCAATTTTCTTGGAAGAACCTATCCAAACATCAAGTCTCCATCAGTAGGGTTGCCAATCTAACTGTCCTCTTGAAACTACGGAGGTCGGTTGGCTGTGCTGATCAGTAGTGACGTAGGTAGAAAGGAACCTTTACCCCAAACCCACAGTAGGGATGACGTGATTTGCCCAAACAAAAAGGACGCGCTTTAAGGTCCCTAATGTGACTGGAAACCACAGTCCATCACCCCGTCGAGACGATCCCTCAAATACACCGCCGCCACCGCCACCACCACCACCACCACCGCCACCACCACAACCACAACCACAACCACAACCCAAAACACGCACACGCACACGCACACGCAAACGCACACGCACACGCACACGCACACGCGCACGCACACCCACACCCACACCCACACACACATACACACAACCACCCCCACCCCCACCCCCACCCCCACCTCCACCCCCACCCCCACCCCCACCCCCCCACACACACACACACACACACACACACACACACACACACACACACACACACACACACACACACACCACCACACCACACACACCCACGCACCCACACACACACACACGCACACGAACCGCACGGTGCGCATGCGCACGCGCACGCACACGCACACGCACCCGCACCCGCACCCGCACCCGCACCCGCACCCGCACCCGCACCCGCATCCGCATCCGCACGCGCACGCGCACGCGCACGCGCACGGGCACGGGCACGGGCACGGGCAGGGGCCACACACGCACACACACACACACACACACACACACACACACACACACACACACACACACACACACACACGCACACACGCACACACACACACACACACGCACTCATACGCTTTGGGAAGACTTGACTATACTACGTATACTAGAGGTGTGTTTGCAGGCTCGTGGCCCATACCCGTGCCCGCCGCCAACCGCCGCGTCGCCTTCGCTGGGTGGCGACCACGGCAGCGCCGCTATCTCCGGCTCTGTGGGGAGGTCCGGAGCGCCCGCGCCCTCCCAAAGGATGCTGCCGGGTGGGAGGGACCCAGTGTGCACCTGGCACGGCGAACAAACCTGCCAAGCAGCATGGGTTGAGCCAAAAAGGGGCGTCCCCCAAAAGAAGCGTCGGGCGCTATGTAGTTGCAAGAGGCATATGGAATCGCTAAGCAACTGATGCACTGACTAAATCATGGCGATTCAAAATCACTAGTGGGACCTTCATGGGGGTGATCTTGTCTTCCGGTCAGCTCACTGTCACTGCTAAAGATTGGCAAAGACCAGGGTGTGGGGAGGATTTGTCGGCTCCTACTTTTGATTCCGAGCGAGGAACCTCCCCCTTGAAATGGGGAGGTTCTCGCTTTTGGGGGGAAGACCTTCAAGTAAGGATCATGGAAGTGGCTGCAATTCTCACAGCGGAAATCCTCGCTGTGCAGGGGCCTCAATGTTTGTGCCATGTCACTCCCAGGCCCATCCCAAACACAGGGCTCCAGTTCTGTTGCTGCACAAGCCGCCGAGCATCTGAATCTCGACTCCTCTTTTGATGACGCGCATGGAACGTGCCGGCTCGCCAGGCGGAAAAGGCGACTGGCCCAGCCCGTGCCGTTGCGCCGCGGGAAACTGCATTCGTGGCGTTGCCGCAATGCCAAGCCACAAAACACGTGCCAAACATGGACCTGGCAAGGCTTCATGAATCACAAATACTAACCTAGAAACGTCACAACCAAACAGAATCTGAGAGTTGGCATCCGGCAACGGAGCTCATGGGTCAACGGACCATGCACTACAAGCCCTCCAGCAGTCCCATGCGAGGAAGCCTAAAGGCTCCACTACCTGAACAAATCTTGAGCGTTCCGAGCCCGCTTTAAGGGAAGCCAACTTGCGACTGTAACACTGCTCACAACTAATTACTGCATGATTTGTATTTTGTGCTGGGCACCTTGATCTGCCAGTGACAGTCTTGGTTGCCAATAAGCTTTATAGGAAAGCAAGGGTGCACGCACAGCATTCGCTGGAGGGCGATTCCTGGTCGTAGCAGCCAAGACTGGTGACTCAAACCTGAATCGCCCAACAAGATGTTGAAACAGCGCGCATGGCTGGCTTTTCGTATCGGGCGTTCTGAAAACGGGCTGGTTGTTTTGAGCCGCCAAATCTGAGAATTGTGGTGGTTTGTTGAGCACTGGTGCCGCTCCGGAGCGTGACATTGACCATCCTGGCCAAAATAATGGAGGGCTGTTACTGGGCTGTTCCCCTTCGCGAAGGATCCCTTCTTAAGAGGGACGCCATCCTGAACCCGCTTCTGGGGCCTGCTGGCAGTAACGCTTCCGTAGCGGGCCAAGGATGAACCCTTTAAGTCAAATCAATCCACTGGGTCAACATCACGCATCCCAGGAGCTTTCCGACTCTTCTCGCGCGGCCGCGGCCCACGCAGCCGCCGCCGCGAATTCCGGATCCACGCGCAACGTGTCTGACGCGAAGCCGAGGGCGGCTTCTGTGTCCCGCACCGCGGCGCGCACGACGTCGCGGTCTGCACGCAAAGCGCCGGATGCAAAATTCAGGGCCAGACCGTCCTGAAGGGCTGGGTGGGGGTTGGAAAATATACGATGAAAAACACACGTCCCCTTTTGGTTCCTTTTGTGAAAGTTAAAAACATGTGCGTTGTTACATGTTCAGCTGTATTTGTCCTTAAGCCCCGTTTAAACATCGACCTGCCTCAAGATCGGCCAAACGCCCTTGAAATAATATCACCCACCCATAGAGAACTCAATCAAACCTGGCAACTGCAATGGTGCTTGCACCATTCCAAACCAGCCTGGAAATCTAAGGATGGGCCCGAAACTATTTCAATCCACCAAATAATTATAACTTTGTTAAAACCATTTCAACCCAGCTCAACTTGGACACCCTACCGCGAACAAACATCGGACCCTTTCCACCCCGAAAGTGCCAACCAAAAGCTTCAGCCGCCCGAACGAGATTCCCACCGCAGACCAGGAACCCCCCGCCCTTCGGCTGACCCCCCCCCCCCCCCAAAGACGGTCGAAAGCTCCTGGCGCACCGCCGTGAGCACGATGGACCGGTCATCCTGCAGCTCAGGCGCCGCACTCCGCAGCGCCAAGCCGCACTCCGCCACCGCGGCCTTCGGCGTTTCGGCCAATCCCCACCCACCCTCCCGGCCTTCCCTGCGGTTTTAATAGCCAACCCCCTTTTGGCTTGTCAAACGGCAACACAACCTTCGATTTGTTTAAGCCAAGCTTGAAACACCTAGTGAGAAAACAACTGTGGTAAAAATGTCCAAGCCGCTTTTGTTTAAACAACCACTATGGTCTGAACAAACTATGTTTGGATTTCCTTTCAAGGGGGCCGCGGAATGCACTCTGCAGAGCTAGCTGCCTTTTTGTTTAGTGTGGCCAGGGGTGGCTTAAACCAACTCAACCAACCTGTCAGTTTTCCTGGGCCTTGGCGACTGTCCAGCCCTTGCGTGGCCCCCATTTCCTTCCATTTCAAGTGACTCAAGTGAACCCAGGAGGCTGGAACCTCCCCCTCGGCTTTTCTGCGCAGCGCTCGCGCTGCGAAATTTCGCAGCCCGTGCCTCCACCACCTCCCGGTCTGCACGCAGAGAAGCCGAGGCGAAGGGCAGCGCTGTGCCGCAGGTGCCTCTCAGTCCGTGACCCAACCCCCCCCCCCCCCCCCAATTTATCCGTTCCATCAGCCCCTTGCGGCTGCAAGGGGGTTGAGTCGGTAGGAATCCCAGTTCAGCTGCTGGGTCCGTACTTATACTTGGCATCCTATGGTTGGTTGTTTCCTAGCCTGCTTACTGGGGGTTGCTGGGTTTATAACCCAATATGTAACAATATGTGGCCCCCTGCTAACCCTGCCCAACTCACATCCTCAGCTTGAGTGCGAACGGCAAAATACAACTCAAAGGAAGCATCCTCGACCAGATTTGTGAGCGACTACACGTCGCTCAAGAGGAAAGCAACCCCTTCCCAAGTCAGTCTCCCCAGAAAAGAAACGTACCTCCTGTGTCCAGAAGAATGCTAAACGTCCAAGGAGAAGAAAAAAAGGCTCAACAACTGGGTTTCCCGCACTTCTCTTTACCAGCCGGCCAGAAAATGTCTCAGATTCAACCAACCCCCCCAAGGCCAAGTTGCTCACGGCCGCCAACACCACCTCGCGGCAGCTCCGTGCTTTCCTGAGCAAACCGCCTCCCCAAAAGCGAACTGCGTTGTTTTGCGGGGGAGGTGCTTGAAACACCCCTTTCAGATCCCTTGGGTACATAAACATGCCCTATCCAACAAGGCGGACGACGCGTATGAATACTGAATATGCACTGGCACTCTTAGGCATAAGAGGCGCATGACAATCTAGAACTGACCATCTAGAGCAGGCCTCGCCAACTTACTTGACACTCCGAGCCAGCGCAGGTAATTACCCAAACATTGCTGTGCTTGTTTGCCGGACTTCATGAAAAGACGCCCCCGCCCCCAAACATGGATCTCAAACTCGATGCACAGCAAAAGTGGGGCCTTAGCTACCTGGCTGGCCCCCTCATCCAGACATCTGCATCCAGCGGGCCTTCTTGGAGCTTCTCGGCTCGGTTTGTTTCCCTCGCACTCCAAGCCTTGCAAACCATGCTGCCACACTGGCTTGGCTTACATGAGCCACAGTCAAGATATGCGGCCCCAGCAATGGATATGGGAAGCTTAGTAAGTCTCCCTGTTCTTGCTGGGTGGGAAAGGTAGTGAATTGACCATGTGAGGGGAAAAACAAGAAGAAACCGGGACACACATGGACGGGTTTTGGCTCCCACGTAGATGCCACTAAACACAGACAACAAATAGTCGCCAGCTGCTCAGCCTCTTCTGCGATCCCCCCCCCCAAAAAAAAAACTCCCCCCCCCCCCCCCGGCCGGCTTTGGGACGATTTCGTGGATTCACCTTTCGCATTTTCCACCCGTCTCACTCCCAACTGGTCGGTCCGAGCCACTCCCCCGCGAAGCGCAGCGCGGAGCCGTTGGACCGCACTGCCTCCAGCGCTACGAGCTCGTCCTCCTGGGGTCGGCAGATCTGGCCAAAACATATATATATATATATGTGTGTGTGTATACATATATATATATATATATACAAATGTAAGTAAATGTATGTATATATAAGGTCGCATTGTTTCATATATTCCCTCTGGTTTGATCCGGTTCAATAAGTGGTGCAAACGCGTTTGCACAAGCGGTCCGCCCACAGGGCTTCTAGAAAACCCTTCGATCAGAACACTTCTAGGATCTTTCGTGGGGGTTGGCGTGGCGCATGGTTTGTGCTTTGTTTCCTGCTTCCGCTGGGTCAAGGACAGCTGAGAAGGATGGTTCCCTTGGAAAGGGGGGTGGTTGCTTCAACAAATTTTGCAAACCCTGGCCTGCAGCGATTCGTCCGCGTAGCGCAGGGCCAGGCCGTTCTCTCTCACAGCCGCTAGCACCACCTCACCGTTTGGTGGGCAAAAAAGCGCCGTGGCGGCTGGGCCCATCAAAGGCCTATTCTCAAAATGACCCTCTGAATGGTGGAAACAAGGGGCAACCATCCCTGAAAGCAGCTTCGAGAACCTCCAAGTGTTCACTTCCCAGGGACACAGGGCACTGGCCCCAAGGGGCTCGCTGGGGCATATGCCCCAGCCAAACAACTCCAACCCGGCGCGATCCAGCGGCCTCCCGATCTGCCCGCAGGTGCGCATGGCGCAGCTCGAAGCCGTTGGCGGTCACTGCGGCCAGGACCACCTGACCATGTCTCAAAGGTAGGGCGTGGGGTGGCTTTCCATTCAGCAGTCCCTCCCCCCACCAATTGAAGAAAAGAGGGGATGCTGAGAAGCTCTATATAAACGAGTAGCAAACAGAAAAAGAGCTTGGGAATCAAACATTTCACTGACGAAGAAGCATCCACAGTTTGACGGATGAGTAGCTCGGAACTTGGCAGCCAGCAGTGTTTTTGGAAGAAAATTCGACAGTCGGATTGATCTGAAGGATCATGCTGGTCGTTTGGACCAACCCCTTTTTAAGGGTAGCCCTCCCAGTTCCAAGGGTGTTGCTCGTGCACATCCTCATTGGGTCAAAGAGATTTCGCATATCGCCACGCCCACCTCCCTGTCTCGCGCCCATGCGGGGTCCACTTCGCGCAGGGAATGGCCTGCAGGCGGAGGGATCTGTCCGTGCAGAAGGTATGTCAAGCTTCACATCCGCGAGTCCTACCAGCTTGTCTCAAGAAAGAAAAAACCCAGAAATGGCGCCCCGCTTCCCTTTTGGCTTGCCTCAGCAGCAAACCCAACAAAGGTTGGTCTCAACAAGAGGCACACCCTGTGTGAGCGCTTAACCTTCTGGCAACGATGATTCGCTCTACACAAACACAAACATTCACTTCCTTCCAAATTGGCTGGGCTTGCAGGGTGGCTCAAAATCCCCATCTGCCCGAAATCCTTGGTGAAGGCTGGGGTGAAGGCTGCTGTGTGGACTGCAGGTCTTCTGCCTGCCCGCACCAGGTCCAACGCGTCCAGGCGCGCAGGGTCCAGGCGGACCAGGGACAGCGAGGCCGGGAGCTCCTCCCACCTCAGGTGTGGATTCCCTGATCCTGTAAATGGAACCAGTGCTGCAAGCTTCCATGTTAGCCTGGAGGGGGGATATAGATGGGAGACTTCGCCCCATGGCCATCGCCCTGTCTGCCCCCACATCGAGTCTGCGAGTGCGGTGCAGGTCATGGCGCTCGCAGCCCTCCAGCAGCCGCTGCTCGCGCAAAGGGAGGCCCAAGGCTGTTTCCAGCTCCGCTTGCAGCTTGGCGGCGCCTCAGTGGGCAACACCCTTAGGGGGCCCAAAACCCACGGCCCAAACAAGATTTGTTGGGGGTCCTGGAGGTTGCTCACGACCCCCTTGACCCCTTTGAAGTTGGGAAGTTGCCCCGTCTAAGATCAGCAAGGGTTCAAACGCCAAAGGCTCCCACGATATTATACACGAGTTGCACCTTCGGCAACCTCCCATCCACCAACATGGAGAGGGGCAATTTAGAGAAAAATGGTCTTCTAGAACCTCCCAGCCAGGCTCCACGGTGGTTGGAGGCTGAACTCTTTGGTTGTGGCTACCTGGCTACCCTTCGGCCATGGCACCATCCGACCTGCTGGCACGCAGCGTGCAAAGGCGCTCCCCAGACAAAGCGGCGAACACCGGCAGTGCACGGGGGCTGTCCATGTCCTTCAGGCCCATTCCCAGAGAGGGATCGCCGACTTAGCCAGCTGATGACTTGAAACAACCGGCACCTCCTTTTCCTGTACTCAAAGACATGCAGGGAAGCTTTCCAGATCGCTGAACGGTCCAATCTGTCAACCAACATCGGGCTCAAACCAAATCTGGGATCTTTCGGGCAGTCCCCAACCCTCCGCCCAAATGCTTCCGCGCACAGTCCTTCCATGCAAGGGCCATCTGCAATTCCAAAAGCGCCAAGAACACTTTGGCTCCGTATTTCATGTTTGCTTCGAGATGGCCCTGCTTGTCTGTGCATGGGTTTTTGAGAACGCATCCTGGCGCGGAGCTCCCGTGTTCTAAGTCGCCTGTTGAGCCAAGAGCGTCGCCCAATAAGAAAGCATGCAAATCATGGCCATGACATTCCTAGTTTGCTTTGCTCTTTGACCACAACGTCTTGACACAGACCGGGATGATTGACACAAAGGGTGAAGCAAGGACAATGCATCCCCCCCCCGTTTCGAAGTTCTGGATGCTCCATAGGCTTGTTTCAAAATAATGTTGAATGCACCTCAAAATGGTTGGCTTCCTTTTAGCAACCCACCCAAGGGGGCTCCCAAACCAAGGCACACTTATACGTCACCCGACCGAATCGGGATGCTGCAATGAAAGCATCGGCCTCACAGCCACACTGTTGCAAGTATGCCCGCAGCTTCGCCTCGGATCGGCACTATGCAGCCATGGCCGCTTCACCCATGGCCGCTTCCTGGTGAAGCAGCCCCTCCTACACTTCCCTGTCCAAAGGCGTCCAAATACCTTCGCTGGACGTTCACCTCGAATTCTTCCGAGCCACTTTCAGGGCAGGCTGCCTGGCTCGTGCGCCGGCGCTGTGGGAGTCCCCAAAAGCGAGCAAGCGGCATGTCCACAACTGCGGCTCTGTGGGGAGATGATCTCAAAAGAGCGCCTTTGTCGAAAAGTCTCAGGCTTGCTGGCCACTCCATTGTCTCCCAAAATTGGGGGAGCGGAGAATAATCTTCCAGGCGGCTTGCCCTTGCCAGTAGGCCTCCCTTTACCATCATTGCCATCCAAAAACGAGATGGCTCCCTTCAACCATGCCCTTCTGTTGCACTGCCAGTCGTATCACGTAGGCCCCCCGCAGACCGAGTCCAAAGGTGCCGGCTTGGAAGTACTTGCTGTCCTGAGCGGTCAGCCGAAGTGGCTTCAACTTCCCAAAATTGGCTTCCTTTTGGCGACTCCCTTCCAAGACCACTCAAAACAGGATGCCGAGCCTCACAAAAAAAGGAAACACCCACATGCCCTCTTCTTTCAAACAATCAGAGTAGTGGACAAATAGGAATATCACATCATGCCCACCTTTTCACCACCATGAGAAGCGCCGGCCACAAAACGCAAACGCCTTCAGGTTGTCGAAGAACCTGGGCAATCAATGCGCCAAACATGAACAGCAAGTGTAATCGCAATTTTGCCCAGAGTGTGTCACCAAGTTTGGGCATCAACAGCGTTGCCCTCCAACATCGAAGGAATTCGCTCCAAAACGAAACAGGTCAAGGCAACCCTTGGCATTTACTCAGGAAACTTTGCATCGTCACAGCCGAAGTCCGGAGTGACCCAGGGCTCCCGCGTGCCCTTGGTGGAATTGCGCTTGTACTCCCTCATCAGCCCCAGCGCGTAGAGCTTTCGGCAGACCTGGCGATGGGCGACCCGGCGGCCCCACTGCAGGGCCCTTGGGATGAAGCAAGGCGTTGAGGCCTTGGCCCGGCTGCCACCAGAACTGAAACCGTGGGATTTGTTGGGCAAGCCCACAAACCAAGAGAGGGTGCGCCCCGAAGGCCCTACCCAAAGGCCCCAAGATCAGCGCCAGAGGCTTGGAGGTGGGCCTTGCATCTTTTGAACGCTCCAGACAGAAGGGGTAACGAAAGCTTCCCCTCCGCACCTAGCATTCCAAGGCTTGCTTCAGGCTCCCAGGAGCTGAGAAACTTCTCTGCGGATTGTTGAGGATATGGTCCCAACCCAGAACCTAGCTCGGTTTTGCCGTGCCCTGTATTTGTCACACTGACAGACCTCCTTTCCCTTTAAAGTTCCGGCAAAGAGGACACGCCCACAACCCCAGCCAGAAGTTTCAGCTCCAAGCTTGCGGGGCCTTGAGGGCCAACTCGTTCTGCACCTGCTTCTTGTTGGTCGCCGTGTGCCTTGGCCCAAAATGCGCCAGAGGTGGTGCCTCCGCGGGAAAACGCGCGGCTTCCCACCAGGTGTGCCCCTAATAAATCAACCCCAAATATGCACCCAACAAAAGAAGACGCCCCCAAAAGTTACAGCACACAACTTACAGGAGAAGGCCACGCTGCACTCAATGCGGCCCAAGGGGCGAGAAGAAGAAGCGCTCGTTTTTGACCTGGCCCCAATGCCCGACCAGACGGGGGCGAGGAGGCCCCGTCGTTAAGGATTACCATAGCTTTCTTGATCTGGGGAAGTTGCGTCTCATGAGTTCTCCCGTCACGAATGCCTTTACCTCCCTGGCACCAAAAAATCGGAATTACATCAATCAAACAATATTTACATCTGGCAAAGGAATTCTGAACACAAAGGCCACAAAGGCCACAAAGGCCACAAAGGCCACAAAGGCCCCTCCCCAGCCCCACCCAATGATTCTGAGAACCGGCTCAAAGACATCCATCAGAGCAGCTTGCCAGGCGATGGCCAACATGCGGAATCCCCCCCTGCGACGGGGAAAGCAGTTCCGTTTGTCAAGTCCTCCCCACAAGTACACAGGGAACTATCATCGGAATTCCCCAAATTCCATTTCTGCCGGGGCCTCTTTCCGGTTTGGTCTCACATTGCTTCATTTTCCGAGGCCACCCTCCCAATTCGCCTCGAAGAGGAGCGTAGCCCGGAACTGCGGAAGGTGGGGGGGGCCCTGCTGAAGGAGCTGCATCTCTGTAGGCTGGCGCCTCAGGCCCGGAAGGTGGTAAGGTGGCTGGGGCAAACGAAATGAGTTAGCTTCCTTTTTGGTTAACCAACATCTATAAATTACATACTGACGGCCGTTTCGCTACTTAGTTTGAGAGTTCATCGTTTTCCAGTGGCTCCATCGTTTGCCATGGGTTCATCCATTTTCACAATATCAATGAAGCGCCGAATACTAAACTGAACAGAAGTAATTTTGGCGGTACTTCATATGGTTAATGATGTTAACGGTTGGAAAACCTCGAAAATAGTTGCTGGACATGAGATCCATGCATTTCTGATGTCCAGCAAAGGCCCCAAATAACTCTCATACCCGGCTCGGATACACACCCTGAAACAAATACGGCGTGGGCGGTTGCCTATTTTTGACACGTAAATCAGCACACATGCCCTGAAGCTACAGTTGGCACATCTCTGTGGGTCAGTAAGCCTTGGTGCTTGGAACATGTGTGTGTGTGTCATTCAGGATAAATGGATGGCCCTGGTCATAAGAACCAAACTGAAACCAGCGGAGTCCATCTCTTTTCCGACAAAGCTGACCTAGGACAGCTATTGCACCCATTTTCCAGGGTTTGGGGGATCGCACGTCAACCCTTTCGGGTGGAGCTGTGTCACGGGAATTTGGCGGGGGGGCCTTCTCATCCACGTCATTGGAAACAGGCAGGCTCCAGCGCTTTCGAGGATGAGATATCACGTGGACAATGCTCTGAAACGACCAGCAAAGATGTTGGATGCGATTGCGAAGCCACTTCTGAAGCAACAGCTGAACCTCTACGATGAAACCAATAGCCGCGGGGCGTATCTCCAGCTTTCCCGTCCTTGAATCCGGAAACTCTAAAAAGAACATAAGAAACTGGGCCCATGCAAAAAAAAAAAACGCCCGGGGACCTGGAAGTTTTCCGGTGTCACTTGCAACTAACCACAAGGGATTCGGGTTGACAAACCTCAGGCCACATCAGGCCAAGCACCTTGGAGGGTCCCTGAACTCAGCACGGGGCCATTTCCGCAGGTGCTCGTTCAGGTGGCCCCGGGCGATTTCCAGCGTGAAGTTGCCCTCGAACCTTCCGCTCGACTTCGGCACTGCAAGCTGATCGTGAGGAACCCCATGGGCCGGGCCCCCGAAGGTCTGAGAGAGATGTCTTTGGGTTAAGTCTGCAGTGTGGCAGGTGACAGCCATTCGCTCACAATGGCAATGATTGTTGGAATCACCCATGGGCCGGTCATTCAGGGGCTGAATCACCAGAGCAGCAAGCCAGTCAGAACGAAGGCTTCGGTGCTTGAGCGCCCCGGCGTCTGCGCCGGCGTTTTCGCTGGCGTTAGCGCTGGCGCCGTCTGTGGCCTCGCCTGAGGCCGTAGACAGCGAGGTCGGGAAGCTGGATTCAAAGAAGAATGACCGCGTGCCTGACCATTCCCCCCCAACAAAGAAAGTACCATAGCGGGCTTTTTTTACTGGCGGACGCTCCCCGGAAAAAAATGATCCACCTATTAAGTAATAATGTAGATTACAAAGCTTTAAGCATGGCGGTCACTGGGGTTAAGGGGTTAGTGCCCTCATGACCATGGTTCTGACCAACTTTCAAAGACGCTCGTTTACTCCCCCTCCCCAAAACCTGGAAGACCCTGCTAACAAGCGGGTCTCACCATGGCTTTCACTGGGTAGTGCCCTTATAATCTGGTCCCAACCAACCTTCCAAGTTCGACAAGAACATCCACGCGGGCCCGAGACCGCGACCGGGCCGGCACACTGGCCGGGCGCCCGGATGCCCGGCGGCAGCGGCGCGCCGGTTCCGGGGGCCTTCCGCGCCAAAACCTGGGGGGAAGCGCAAGGTTCAACCTTGAATAATTTTCATTGGGTGAAAGTGGATGGTATAATTCCGCCATATTCCGCCATTTGGATCCCGGCTGGGGAAGGCATACGGCTGATGTTCTGCAAAAGCGAGCAAAAGAAACTCAACCCGAGTCAGGCCCGCAAAGTTGGCAGCCTTCAAGCCACTGTGAAGCTTAATTGGCAAACGTTGGGGAAAGATCCTGCGGCATCCTGCGTTTTCAAGTGACAAGTGCACCGCACGGTCATACAGGCACCACGGACTGTGTTGAGGCTCAATTCTTTCGCTGGGCACCCCCTCAGACCATCAAAAGGAAGACAAGGAACTGAGCAAACCGTGTGCTTCACCTGGTCTACTGCGTCTACTTTGTGACCAGCACAAAAGGACCGCATCCCAAAGGCGCTCTGTCTGATCGGGCGCATTTCTACAGGCCCGGAAATGATGGACAAAAACGAGTGCCAGGCCGCAGCCAACTGCAAACTCCCATCCCCCTGTGGGTCTAGTGCGGAGCCCTGAGCATTTGGGCTTGAGCTTTCTGGGTCGATCTTTAAGTTTTGCCACTCTGAACAACAGTGCTCCATCGTTTGACACTAGGGCCACTAGGGTCGGCATTCTCCAAAAGGGTCAAAACTTTACAACACAACACCTTTCGATTTTGCGGGCTCTTCCCACCCCGCGTGTAGCCACGCAGCCGTGTCTGCAACCCCCCGCCTGTTCTGGAGCGGGTTGGCTGGCAACGGCCGCGGCCCCACCCCAGGATTTCCGCTTCTTGGCCGACGGCTCTTCCCTCGGCGCAATGCAAGCCCCACGTTCCGCCGAAGCCGACAAGACATGCACCAGTTGCTTGAAACGGAATGAACAGCTTCCCAACTAAGCTGAAAGAGTCAGCAAGATGTCCACATATACACGGTGCGTGCAAGACACGTTCAACATGAAAGCAGGTAATTACCCCAGCACAAATCCTTCCCAGGTGAAGAAGTTGGGCAAATGAAGTTTGGCGGCTGCTGTGTGCCCAAATGGATGGTACTGAAAAGCATCTGAACCATGCGCACTGGAGCTCGACCAAGTGCTACTGTCACTGGCAAAGCACCCGCCGCCATGCATTGGATATGATTATGCAATTGGAAACAGACTTTTTGATGGACATCCTTCACATGGGGGTTGATGCCCACCTACCCTTTCGGAGGGCAGTAGAATTCAAGCGCAAAACGAGGCCAGGCGTCAGCGTCTGTGCGAGCAAGCCAGAAGCTTCCAGGAAGGATACCATGTCCTTCACAGCTGTCCTTGACCCAGCGGAAGCAGGAAACAAAGGACAAACCATGAGCCACGCCAACCCCCACGAAAGATCGTTAGGGCCTTCCCAGGAGCGTTCTGATCGAAGGGTTTTCCAGAAGCCCTGTGGGCGGACCGCTTGGTGCGCCCCGCTATCCAGATCTGAGGAGGGGACGCTTGAGCAGCTTTCTTGCCTCGAGCGATGGAAAAAGCAAACGCACTCATGCTGAGTATGTATGCCAATGTGAGCAGCCCGGCTGGATGCAACGGCCAAGGAAATCTTCTGCACTCCTGCAGGGCTGGGCAAGCGGTGCGCATGCTCAGTGTCTTGGCAGTCGGTGCCCACTTGCGAGAATCAACCAGTGCGAATGTAAAAAGTGTGGTCTCCAGCCTGGTACTCGTAAAGTGCCTGAGGACGGCTGCAAGCAACTTCCCTGACCCAGTCTTCTTTTTTCGCGCTCTAACAGACCAATGCGCATTCTCTGTGCCCACTTGTTTGCTTTGTGTGGTTCTTGTCTTTCGATTGACCCGAAAAAACCGGCTGACCCCGGCCCAGCCAGTTGTCAAGACATGAGATGGGCAAGGCCGGGAAAACGAGATGTGGTGGCTGTCTGGAATTCCTTGTTCCCGGAAACGCCATCTTCGCCGAAAAAACAGATAACAGTCACGGTCAGGAAAAATAGCTAGAATGACGAATCCGGATGACTTAGGACTATTATAACTTTATTAGTTTCTCATCGTCCTTTCTTTTTGAGCTACTACTAGAGATTAATAAAAGGGCAACGCAAAAAGGAACAGATATAAATGGTTAAATAATATAACTATGGTCTTCATGTGCCTCATTTAGATCTTACTGTTGCAACTCCAAAAGGAGAGGATTAGAACAAGAAGACCATAACTTAGATGAAATAAATGCTGTACATCAATATGCGTAAAAAAGGCGGGAAACATATCGTGAACCATAAATGTCCTGTCTCTTATCCCTTTGGGATTGCACCGCCGCCAGGCGAAGAAACCATTATCTTTATCTCTGTCTCTCTGTTGATCAGGGCATGCGCCGTTCATTCGCCTCCCAATCACCTGATTCGAGCTCCCAGTTCTTCCCCCTTTTCTGTTAAATGTTTTCAGCGCACTGAGACCGAGCCACATTGGAAGCCCTTGGCACTCTGCTGGAAGGTCGCCTGCAAGGTGGGCCGGTTGAGATGTCCACAAGGGACATAAAGACAAAGGACTCCGAGGACCATATCTCTGAAAGGGGCAGAATGCTGGACTGGGCTCCGCGGAGTGCGTGCAGGGGCGGGGGGGGGGGGGGGAGGGGAATCCTGGCCAGTCGCGCCTCAAAGCTTCCACCATTCCTCGGGCACACAGCCCCACGTGAGGTCTGCGAAAACCCGCCATGGAACATAACAAACAAATCCATAAGGGACGACGGTCCAGCCGCCAAAGACGCAAAAGGTTTGGGTTGTGCGAGCTACGGGGATCCAACAGACCTCACTTGGCGCGGAAAATGGAATTCTTCAAACGTGGCCGGCACCCCTCAGAACCCATCACCGAGCGTCTTCTGGCAAAAGCGGTTCAGCACGTTCGCTTCCATGGCAGATCTACCTTGAGCCCCGCCTGCGATGCAAAGCGACCAGGCGGCATCTGGACAGATTCGCACCGACGCCAACCAAGAACCAAGAACCTGCAAAGCCACACCCGCCAACAAAACGAAAGTCGCTATTCCAATCCAAAAGCCCCAGCCCCCACCCACCCACCCACCTTATCCCAACAAAGCCAAGGGTTGCAGGCAGCTTGCTTACGTGAGCGCTCACCCGTCTAAGGCGAACCACTTCCCAACTCCATCTCCGACTCGCTGCCGGAAGTACCTCCAGAGCGCACCCGCTGGCCCAAAGGCCCAAGAGTCATGAGGTGGGGCGGGTATTGGGCCTGCCAGTCTTCCCCACCAAAGAATGGAACTACAAAATGAATTCCAGCAAGTACCCCTCCTGCCCCCCCCAGGATAAGCCAGCCAAACCTGACCGCCAAGCAGCCTTCCTCAAGCAAAGTTGAAACCTAAGGCACCTTGCGTCAGCTTGGGATCTTCGGGGGGGTGCTTCTGGGAGAAGCAGCGCTGTTGAACGCTTGAGCACACCTAAGCTTCTGTCAATTGGCCTTGGCTACGTGCCGCCCTGTGACAAGCAACGCAGAAGCGCACCGCCCGAGAGACGCATTGAAGAACAGCCAGGGCTGATGCTTGCCTCAGCAATCGAATTCATCCACGTCAGTCACCACAATCAAACACCTCATCATGGCTCAAATTCTGCCCCAAAAGCAGCCCCTTGCTTCGCACTCAGAGGTGTCCACTTGGATGTTCAATCCGGTTAGCAAGTGGGCTCTGACCGCTGTTATATGGCAGCTAACCCGAGATATCCAAGCTTTACGCATGGCCCCCCTAACCTGGTTGAGCATCCAAGCAAAAAGGGCAAGAGGCCTCAACGCTCGGCTGAGCGCCATGCCCTCCTGGTTCTGTCGCTCGTGCATGTACCAGACCTGAAGTCGCCATGCAAATCAGACACGTCCTCAAATGTCTTTGGGCTCAAAAGGTTGGAGCCAAAGGGACTTCCAGTGGAGCCACTTCGCCACGAGCTTAGAACCGCACCCCTGGCAGTTGTGGAATTGGCGTTCCCGTCTGCGTCTTCACCCAATTCACACCTGAAAATGCACAGGAAATGCTTCCGAACAAAAGAGCCATTTGCCCATGCATGCAAGCAAAACATGTCCGAGCGGGAAGTGGTGAAAACAAGTGCAAGCGTCGACTGAACTGAGGCCGATTCCAACTGGTTGGAAAGCCTCTTCCCTCAGCATCGCGGCGGCGTCAACACGTGCAGAGCTGCAGAACTCTTAAAATAGCCCTGCATGCCAAAAACGGGCTTGCTAAACAGAGATGCCACAAAGCCATACAGTTGCTAAAACGTTGTGTCAACCGCACCTGTTTGCAACACTTCCAACGTCTCAAGCACATTTTTTTCGCCCCACTGGTGGCGCACAAAGTCCTCCAAGCGTTCCGCACAAGAGGCGCGAAAGGCCCGCCTCGACTCCGCGTTTTTGGGTTCCAACTCTTTCAGAGCAGAGACCAAATCTGGAGCCAGCGGCTGCCAAACGTCGTGCCTCCCAGCATCGAAGCCCAAATGGCACCGGTGGACGAAGTTCCGGGCACAGAAGGCAAAGTCCTGTGCCAAAGCAGTTCAACGTCACTAGGTAAGAGTAGAACTCCAACCACACGGTCTGGCATGATCTCCCAAGAGCTGATGTCTTGAAGGCAAAGCTCGGATTGATGTGCGAGCTACTGGATTGATACATTACGTGCATATGAGTGGATATACACTGTGTATATAAACACCTACATGTACAACACCAATATGAGTGTACATATCTAGATTTAAAAAAATGAATATGTGCCATTAAAAATATGTGCGTATGTATGCATGGCATGGCATGGCATGGCATGGCATGGCATGGCATGGCATGGTGTACGGTATGTATGCATGCATGTACATCATGTACCTATGCATGTTTGCATGTACGTACGTAGGTGTGCCATTGCCTACATGTGCGTGCATGTATGCGACTGCATGCGTAGGTAGAAGTGCGAATGTGTGTGGGTGTTTGTGGCAGCGGCGCCAGTGCGTCGTATGACCTTCGTGGAGCTGCCAGCCGCTGTGGATGGGGACGGGGTCAAGGGGTAAGGTTCCCAAAACCAGGGTGCTCTTTGTTCATCTTGTGTATCCTATCCTATCCTATCCTATCCTATCCTATCCTATCTCATCCATCCATCCTTCCATCCATCCATCCATCCCTGCTGGCTCTCACATAAGCCCTGCCTGTTTGACCCCCTACTTTAAGATCCACCGCCCACCGTCCTCCTGGGCGGTGCTCCACGCCACGTACTTCCCGTCTGCCCAGGTGGGGTGCCCCGCCCAGGCAGCGTGGCTTCGGATCTGGTGCTTCCGCCCGGTGCCAATGCCTCGAAGAGCGAAATGGGGGGGGGGGGGGTCAGGGGGTCCACGAGTCCACCATGTGTTGAGCCTTGCCACAAGTTCAACCTATTTGCATATATAGAAAGGACTCCCAAATCGTGTTTTCTGCACGCCGAAAGACGACGAAATGTGGGAAGCTGCTCACTTCTGCACATTGTTGCAGTGGCCCTTCATTTTTTACCAGTGAGGGTGCAAGCACTTATTTTAGGAGGGGCAAGGATGCCTGACGATGCCGGTGCTGCTGCTGGATTGGCCAGACTGCGTACGAAATCTCGACTTGTGCTCAATAAACTGGGCGGATTGATTCGAGTGCACGGGTATGTTCCCCCTCAAAAACCAGTCAGGGGCTCATTCCGGGTTGATTGCTCAAATTTGGCGCAGCTAAGACAAACCAAAAACCAACGCTCGAACGGCTCGGCTTTCGGTCAAGATGCGGATGACCAGCAGGCTCCCAGCTCGGCGATGGAAGCGGTAGAAGCCTTGGGATTGAGACCATTCGGGGGTTTGGGGATTTAGTGTTGGAGATATGGAGGTTTGTACCCCCGCAACTATTGTTTGTTTTTGTTTTTAAAGCATACCTTGGCAGATTAACATGGAACTCCAAAAGCCGCAGATCTCCATTTGGGGCATCTCGTCCGAGGGGCCGTGGCCCACCACCCGCAGAAAGGTCCGGCAAGGCTTGCCAAAGCTTCCGGCGGACACCGGGGACTCGTTCCAACGCAAAGAGGCCCTCAGCTCTCTGAAGGACTTGGGCATGAGCCCGTGGCACAGCACCAGGTACTCCTCGGTTCCACTGCGTTGCCCCGTTGCAAATGGAAGACGCCGAAAGCATTGGGAGCGGTAAAAGGAAGATCTTGGCGGGGTCTGCTAAGCCCGCTACCATGAAGCCTACCATGGAAGATATCTTCAAAACACCAACAAAATACTGCCAAATAGCACAAATGATCCCTGATTGTTTTTTGGGGGGGGTCAACAGACCTGCGAGGCGAGAGTGTGCTGAGAACTCCCGTATCAACCAGCCTGACCAAACACTGCGTCAATCGAAGGCCTTTACCCGCGCTTGGACTTCAATTATTCTGTAGGTTGTTATTCCCTCATTGAGGTGCTTCAGCCGAGTGTTCTGAATTGGGCGAGCTGCACAAATGATCCAGAAGTGTCATTGTGGTGTTTCCAGCTTCTGCCCCGAGGGCAACACATGCGACACGTGCAAGACACCCCCTGGCCAATCAAGCGAGATTCCCGGAGCAGCGTGCCGCTGACCAGCTGGAGCTGCAGGTCATACCAGGCTTGGTAGGTGGTGCCCGCCAACCTTTGCCACGGTTCAAGCTCATGCCCATGCCATATTCTGCTCGTCTATACTGTTCTACCTAAGAAACCAGAGCAAGAATGCCACGCTACGCCAAATGCAGACCAGCAGCACCAGCCCAGAGCTGGGCACGTCAAGGCGATGGATGAAGCCGCAACCGTGCTCCAAGTCCTTGAGAATCGGCCGGCGCCCGCGCTGGCCTGCCAGGAACTCGCTGAGCTGGCGCGCCACCATGCCCCCATACACCTCCCACCCTGGCGGCTTGCCAATCACCAGCCGGTCCGACAGGTCCAGAACAATCACGGGATCTTTGTGCACGGCAGGCACCACCTTCGTCCCCTCGACCTTGCCCGGTTTGGCCGCACCCCGAGCGCCTGACACGTCCTCTGTGCCCTTGAGGTCGTCCTTTGCCCTGGCGGCGCGGAGCACGGTCCGCCGTGCGGTGGCCAGCAGCGGACGGCCCAGCAGACCTAAGAAGTTCCAGGCCCAGACCACCCCCAGCACTGCCTCCACACGCTTTGCAGCTTGAAGCCGCCCAGCAAGCCGCATCTGCTTCACCGCTGCCTCCTGCACCCGGTGGCACAACCCTGCACCCAGGGCACCTGCATCTGTGCCAATCAGGGCCCAAGAGATCATGGAGAGGTCATCCAGGCCGAAGTCATCCAAACGCGCGGCAACGGCCTCCGCGAAGAGCGGGGACTGGAGCCCCAGCGTGGCGAAGGCCCAAATGACAGTGGCCAGTTGCTGCGCTGAGGCGGCTACCAGCTGCGGCGCCGCCTCTGCAAAGCAGCTCTGCACCAGGTGCGGATCAGCAACATGAAGCCTGGGCGTAGCTACTCACAAGCCAGAGGAAAGGAAGAGAGAGAGAGAGAGAGAGAGAGAGAGAGAGAATGAGGAGGAGGAGGGGAAGAGGCATCGTGGGAATCAAACATGGTTGGCCAGTACATGCAACACCAGCCTCGCAAGTGCCCAAGGCAAAGAAGAGATAGGCCGTGTCCGCAGCACGCGTTCAGAGGCCTGCAAGAGGTCCCAAGCCTGGCCGACCTGCCCAGCGCTTGCACAAACGTCAATGGCCGCATTGAAGCCTCGGCGCGTCGCAAGATTGCGCCATGCCAAACCAGACCAACCAAGCTGACACTTACTAGGCACTGGTTCCCATGACTACTCAGACTCGAGTTTGCCGGGGAAACCAGAACACGACATCAATTCCACTGGAGCTCTGGACTTTGGAGATCCGGGCAACACACGTCGTCCGGCGCTAGCCGCAGCGTCCGCATCTCCGGCAGCAGGGCCAGCGCCAGGCGCCAGCGGGACGCGCAGGCGCAGAGCGCAGAGGTGAAGGCGACCACGTCGGCCACGTCGGCGGTGCCTCGTAGAAGTCCCAGGGCTGGCTCCCAGGCGGTCGCCTTTTCCTCCCGAGCGAGCCCCTTCAGGCAAACCAGGCGCATGGAGTGAGGGGAACAGATGGGGTAGTCTTTCTTTTGGACGTGGAAGCCTAGCCGTTCATGAATCTTTGTTCTGAAATGGACCTAAATTGGAAACCCAAAACCTTGATTGATCTTGGGCCATGCTTCGCATGAGTTGACCGCAGAGTTGCTGGCCACGGTGTCGCACTCCAGCGAAAGCATCGGAAGACCTCGGGTCAGCGAAGCTGGTTTGGTGTGATATCCAAATTACCCTGCTTTGGCAACCACACCGAGAAGCAGTTTGACCACCGCGATTGTTCCACTACTTTGTCCAACTGGTGAGGGGTACCATGGGTTGAGCAAAAGCGTGGGCTTACAACTGCGATTCGATCTAAGGCGCGCATCAGGATGCCACTGGCCACCCGCCATTCTCGGCCGCAACTTCCCACCAAAGTGCCCAGAGTCACCAAATTCGGCCGTACCTTTCCGCGAGTCTTGCAGCCGCCGCAATGAAACCCTTCAATTTACTTACTTGCTCGTGTTGCCCGCGATGCGTTCTTGTTGAGAACAAGCCCCCTCCCCTGCACGGTCCAAACCACATATGGCAGTGGTGAGCCACCATGTTGGCCAATGTTTTTGAGCAATGTCCCGAATTGACCTAACCCTTCCAAGCCATCAAGAGATGCCCTCCCCGCCATTCAACAACAAGCAAATGCTCGATTGGTTTGGGTACGATGGCAAAAGTGCAAGACAGCTGTGCCTGTTCCTGTTGACCACATCTGGATATAGAGGGGTGCGCCTTCCAAACCCTATGGCCGTCCTCTGAGCGACTGACCCGTAAAAGTCCCCGGAACACGCCAAATACATCTCAAAGGCACCGGTTTCCAGCTGCCCCGTCAAAGCAACACAACCTGACCAAGTCGGATCAACGCGAAGCGAAAAACCTGCCATGCGCCAAATACACCGAATGAGATTCTCGCAAAAGCACTTGCAGGTCGACGCAAAACCTGAGTACTTCTGTGGCTTAGGCTTATGTAGTGCGTCCCGCTGCTAGAGTTGATTCCCTAAATTTTGAGTGAACGACAATTCATCACCAAACCCCATTCAACTCGTTCCCCTATTTGTAGTTTTGAGAGCATGCAGCTGCAGCTGCCACCTGGCGCGCCCCATGTGCAACCAAGGCCTGAAGGCGTGTGGCGAGGCCGAGCAAGTGGCATGCCAGCGTCCAATGTCCAATCCTCTCGCCTTAGCTCGTGGGCAGGTTTGCCTATCAGAAGTGGCACCCCTACTGACAAGGGCAGACTTCATCACGAACTGTCCCGAAAGCTCCCGGAAGTCTTGCAGTGGCCAGAATCCTCCGAGGGAGGGCCAGCACACCCCAGCGGTAAGCAGCGGTAAGCAACAGAGGACACAAAGGGCCAAGTTAATTTGAAAAGAGGAGACCGCGACAGCGCAAAAGGCACAAGGACCAAACCCTCCCCCCTCCGCACACCAACAAGAGTTTCGTGTGGCTGAGGTGCTTCTTTTTGCATAGCCCTGGCATTGGCCTATCCCTGGCACAGCCTGGCGTGCACGATAGAGGTTTGGGGTAGGTTTGGGGTAGGTTTGGGGTAGGTTTAGGGTAGGTTTAGGGTAGGTTTAGGGTAGGTTTGGGGAAGTCTATTTGGGATAGGTTCAGGCCCGGCATCGTTTTAACATCCTCAGTATCGTTTTCAACATCCTCAGCATCACCAGGTATTGGTTTAGGCTGGGTTTAGGGTGGGTTCCAGGTTGGGTCCGGGTTGGCTCCTGGTGGGTTCCAAACCTATTGAGGGCAAATTTGGGGGTGTGGCAGATGGTTTAGTGTTGGTTTATGGTGGGGCTTCTTAGTTTAAGATAGGTGGTGGGTGGCAAGTAGGCTTAAACCACCTACCTTACACCACCCAAGTGGGCTTAAGCAAAGCCATGACCGCAGCCAACCCCAAACTCACCCGAGACCAACCCCAAGAAGCCCCACCATAAACCAACACTAAACCATCTGCCACACCCCCAAATTTGCCCTCAATAGGTTTGGAACCCACCAGGAGCCAACCCGGACCCAACCTGGAACCCACCCTAAACCCAGCCTAAACCAAAACCTGGTGACGCCGAGGATGTTGAAAACGATGCTGAGGATGTTAAAACGATGCCGGGCCTGAACCTACCCTAAACACACCCTGAACCCATCCCAAACCTTTGTCCCACCGAGCCTCCGACCAACCAACCAACCAACCAACCAACCAGCCAGCCAGCCAGCCAGCCAGCCAGCCAGCCAACCAACCACCTGCCAGGGTTAGCCCTGTGCCAGGGCTAGGCCAAGAAAAAAAACACCCTTTCCAGTTCCGGGTTCTCCAACAAAATCCAAACCCAAGTGTGTTGTCTCAAAAAATTATGGGCCTTTGACTTCCTTGCCGAACAAGCCCCCCTTGAAGAGGTAACCTCAGCAAACGAGCTCCTCGACAAAGCAAAAAGTAAAAGTCAGGGAGCAAGCACCCAGCGCCGTGCTGCAGCTGATCACATCTGGCTCCAGCTGCACCGACGCCTGGGACTGGCTATGGCCGCTTGGGACTTTTTGCAGTCACCGTGAAGCATTGGGGAAGTGCACCCATAAGTCCCCGAGGACTGTGATGCCTCCTTTAAAAACTGGGGTCTTGGGGCCTCTGGACAAGAGGGGGAGCTGGGTTGGACTTGGACTTGCCAATGCCTCATTTAGTATTGCCAATGCGTTGCCAAGACTTACTCTCAGATTCCGAGACCTCAGATATACCACCCTTGCAAATAAAGACTGAGGCTAGATCTTGACATGATCACACACACACACCCAAACAACTTAAGATGAAAGCGGACGCCAAAGCAGTCAGATTCAAGAGGATCAGCGGCTCTTGTAGGATGCCCCCTTTGCGTGAGGCCTATTGTTTCCTTCCTGGAGGTTGTAGAAAATTGATTCAATGGTTTGGGGCCCACTTCAAAAAGAGGAGTTCCTTGATCTAAGACCTTTTGGCTGGGAAGGGCTTAGATAAACCGCCCTTTGCAAGCAAAAGGCGAAGCCGTTGATCTTGTGTGTGTTTGTGTTCTTTTGCGGAAAACACTTATCAAAGCCGGCGACGAAACATTCACGGGAATCTGAATCAACGGCGTTTTGCACTGTTCATCGAGGGGGTCATATTGAAGGAGACCAGTCCTGGACAACAAAACAAACACAAAGGACCAAGGATGAAACAATACCGAGTTGACCAGTGACCCTGGATCGAAACAGGGAACCTTTTTCAGGGTCTACTCCATTTTTAGTGAGGAGCCCCATCAAGCCCAAGAAAAGACATCTAAAGGGTGGAATCCGCAGAGCAATTGGGAATGAGAGCGCGGCCTTCCCACCACCCGCCAAGGTGCCATGCTTTCGAGCAGCACCATAGCCTGCCCCCACTCGCCGGCACCTGCGCAGGCATTGATCACCATGTTGGCGGCGATGCAATCCGGCGCCAGCGTCCTTCTTGTGACCAGGGCCGATCTGATCACCAATAGGAAATACCGAAGGCTGCGACCATCTCTAGGGAAAAGTTCTTGGACCCAGTCTTGGCGGAGGGTCGAGAAAGGGCTCTGATAAACTGTCCCAGGAGCAGTGGGTCCCAATGTCTCTCCTGATTCATGGCGGCTAACGGGTTACTTGATGACACTCTTCTACAAAAGGAACCAACGCAGCTTTGGATGGCCACCTGTCTTCTCTCTAATGGCTAGGAGGGAAGCGTTTGATGCCTTTGTTAAGAGCAAGAGGAGATGGCAATGGTAGGAGGCAAACCTCCCACATATGACATTCTCAAGAAGCAGGCCTCCCCTCTCCACCCTTCTCCCTCACGCTTGTTCTTTTGTCCTTGACAGCTGCACAGCCTGATGCCAAGACTTCATCGCATGCAGCTCGGCATTGTAGGTGCACTGGTCCGGCTGTGCCCTGCCAACCGGAGCGCACTGGTGCAGGGCCCGCAAGTCACATCGTGCAAGACAGACTCGTTTTCAATTGCACATGTGTGCGCGTTGCTTCATGCCCACTGGTGCTGACTGCCACCAGTGGACTGCACATGTGCAAGCTGTGCCTGGGCCTGCTTCGAGGGCTTTTGCTGGGAACACAACAAAACGCAGATCCGCACCTTCCCATGGGGGCCAACAGCTCCAGACCAAGCAATGACCCGCGAATGAACTGCCAGCCCAACACAACGAACAGCTAAGAGAAGACTCCTTCATTGCCTTGGCAAGATTCGCACTCGGCCAGATTGGTAAGGACGCAAGGACGTGCCCATGGGTCTCAGCATTTTGGCAGTCTGGGGTTCGTCCCCTTAGAAGTCACAATGCAGCGTTGGGGCTGCGGAATTGTAAGAATGGCCGTCGTTTCGCTAACCGGGGTGTTAACTTCTTCCTGCCCTGAGGTCAAATGAGCGTGTGCGTTCTTCGACCTTGCAAAACGTGCACGTGCTGAAGGCAAACCAAAAGGATTCGACGGCACGTTCTTTTGAAGGGATGGGCATCATTTACATGCAAATATATGTCCGCTCTCCCTTTCAAAAGGGTTACGCAACGAAAATACATGTCAAATTGCTTTCAGTTGTATTTTGTAGTATGCCATATGCTTCTTGTAGCGGGACCCCCCAAAATGATTGTTTTCCTGTTGGTTCCCGGAAAAGCCAACCCCAAAACGGGTAAACGGGCACCCTTAAAAACAAGATACGCCCAGCACAGAGCGAGCCACAGCTCCTCCCAAGCGCAACCCGACCCGACTCTCGAATTGCCTCGCCTGCACCTGGCCATCTCCGCGCGCAGCTGGAGCGCCTGGGGCCAGACCTTCGCGGCCCGCACCGCGGCGCTGAAGCCCTGGGCGCCCTGAGTGGTGCGCACGGGCGCGGGCGGAGGTTTGGGCGGACGGGGGCGTTTTTTCCCCTCCAAAAGTTATGATTCCCCACTGAAATCAGGGACACCGCCCTTTTGCCAAAAATGGGTTGATTCATATGGGGTCAACATGAAATACATAACCTCCCAGCCTTTTCACATGGAACCCGACGTTCGGGGGTCCTGGTTTGGTCCATTTTTCCTTTCCAAGGGACCGGGTCCCTGTCAGGTTCCATGTTAATTGGTGGGAGGGTAGCTCAACCAAAATGGGCCCCAACAAAGAGACTCGGTCTGCACGCCCTTCGAACTATGCACCCCCTTCCGCGTTTTTGGAAGAATGCAGACCAACTGCACACCAAGAGTCCATGGCAGGGCTGGGCCTTTTCCCCGTGTTCAAGTTGAAACAACAGCTCTGACATGAGTCCAATCAAACATGTGGGTGCCTTGTGGATGGAGCCAATCGGGTTCTAAACCTGTTTCAACCTGCTTTTGGCCTTTTGGCCGTCCTTTTCACCTTGTTCTCTGCTGCCAAAGGGCGATGTCCAAAGTCGCCACGCGCACATCCCTCCTCAGCGAGGCAGGCACAAAGGCCCTTGAGGGAAGCAGGCCAAACTTTCTTGAATCGACCCCCAAGATGAAAGAAAGGGCCCAGCCAAAAACGGATATATAAATGAGTTGTGTCCACCAACTATTGTGAGCGGATCCAACGCTGGAAAAGGGCCTACTGGAAAAAAAACAAGTCCAGCAGATTGTGTGATCTCTAAATTCCTCCCGCTCCAAGTTGCAGAATGCTAGAAGACAGCTCCCAGGGGCAGCCGTTCCTTGGCCGTGACGCTTCCCTTAAAAAATAAAATAAAAAACACAACAGTACCCTCTGAAAGGCCCAAGCTGATCCCAGGCTCTGCGCTGCATTTAGAGCCGTGCTGTATCCAATGGCGTTCGGACTCATTCCCGTAGTAGACATCTCTCCTCGGCGACGCAAACGCGCGTGGCCGCTCAAATCCGAGGGATCCCAGAACCCCCGGTGGAACAAACGCACCAAGCCCGCTGCAGTATTGCCGAGCGCAACCCATGGTGCCCCTTCTCTTTCCCTCGAGGCACTTCTTGTGGCTCCAAATGCCCAAGGCAAATCGGTTCGAAACGAGAACTGAACCCCGCACGGCTTCATGTTCCACACAGCCAGGTCTCTAAGAACACTGACCGCTAGAGGCCAGCATGAAGATTTCTCGAAGACGTTGATGGCTGAGTTGAAACCTCGCAGGTTGCCAATGGGCGTCCCTGACTCATGATCCAAAGTATCTCGGATTACTATCCAAGTCCTGGCTTAGCAACTGGCAGGGCTGATGCAAGCCACTGTCAAGGGCAAACGTTGTTTAACTCTGAGAGTGCGCCCCTAAGTGTTTGCCTCCTTTTGGCCTCATCTGAACAATGAGGGGCACGCTGAGGGTACATGACAACAGTCCTGGGTGACAGTTGCCGCCAATTGGGTGTGTCTTTTTGGGGCTTGAAGGGAACCAAAAGGAAATCAACTTGTTTGGGCCACCAAAGGCCTAGTTTGCAGACAAGCCCAATTGTATCAAGCCTCCAGTGACGCTCTGCAGCCAGGCATCTCACTACATCACGCTCCGCCGACAGGGAGGTCAAGCCGCAGAGGATGGAAAGCGCATAGGCCCAGTCTCTGGGATTGCAGGCGCCAATGAGGGCGTTGACGTGAAACCTTCACATCCAACCAGCCTCAACCCTCTATGTGCAAACAATCGTTTGAGGGTTCTGCTGGTTCAAAACCTGGAACACCCAAAGCAACTAGCTGGTTCCCTTGGCTTCTCTTTTTTTACAGCCCCAAAACATGTGATAATTCTTGCCATCAAACACACCCGTGGGCAACGGTTGCTGGCGCACAGAATCCTTTCGAAAAGCAGTGCTATGGGGCCAGCGGCGTGCTGGCTTCCATGCGGCCGTCCATCAGCGCAGCCAGCACCTTGGGAGAAGGTGACATGTGCCATGGTCAAAAACCTTGCCAGAAACGTGTCGAACGGTCGGTTCTTCCAGCACGAATCAATGGCCCCGCATTGTTTTGTGTTTTGTTTCTCCTTTTTTAAGAAGAAGAATGAACAGCAACTTCCCACAACTAACACGCCGTGTTGATAGCACGCGTGGCCGCACCGTTGGCGCCTCGAAAGCAGCCTTCACCCCATGCTTCCTCGTGCAGGTTGCCAGAAAGACGGTGGTCAACTTGGGCTTCCTTGGGCGCTCAACGCAAAGCAGCGAAGCACACAACGTTTCAAAGGCCTTCCGCACAGTCAGCACCTTGGCATCCAAGAGTCGCCCTCAGCTTGTCAAACGACCAGTCTTCCTGGCCAGAGCAGGTGTTCAGCTAAGATATTGTGGGCCTGTCCACGGTGATATAAACTGTGCCAGGTTGAATCTAGCACCAACATCAGCAAGCAACAGGCTTGCCTCGTCCTTGAGTTGCAAAAGGGAGGCGCTCTTGTTGTTCATGAAACATTCCCCGGCGCCAAAAGTTCGAGCAATTCTCACATCTCTCACCATGATGCTGTGTTGAGGAAGGGGAAAGCCTGAGGTAGAGTGCCATTCGCTTGCACATAGCATGAATGACTCGGCAACCGAAGCCATCGATGCGCGACACAGCAAAAGGCCTGCGAGCCTTGCCTCTGCTTGCACTGCTTTGCCCCTTAACTGGGAACCCCTTTTGGTTTTGCTTTTCGGACCTGCGGTCCCACATTGGTAGCGGAGCTTGAGGGTTCCCCCCCCTTGCTCCCGCTTTTGGGGTGTTTGGACGTCTTTAAGTCCATAGGCTGCTCTGCGGTGGCCAATGGCCCGACGCGCCCGCGGAAGCAATGGGGAGGAGCCTGCACGGCCGGTGGACGTTCCGGCCGGCGACGCAGATGATGATGACCTGGATGGGGTGGTCATCCCGGACGAGGTGGTGAGCGAGAATGTTCACGATGAGCCGGATGGGCTGCCGGTGGAGGAACCGGCAGAGGGAGATGATCCCTGGATGAGGCCAGGGGAAGATCCATGGGGAGCGAGGCCCACTTCGGCCGCCGCACCGGCATCCACTGCCAGGCCGGCGGTGAAAGCAAGGACAGCCCCACCGAGATCTGTTGGGATGGAGGCGGACTACTGGGTGGTGACCAACACGCGGGTGGTCAGGGTGCATGTTGTGCCTCGGCTTGAGCGCTTCAGGCCGACCGACCTCTTTGAGTGCCCAATTCCCTTGAGCAAGATGTCACCTTGGAGGCGAACCAGGATGAACTTTGTGGGGGAAGCGGAGAGGGACGGAGGTACGACGCTGGTGAGCGACCACTGGATGAACCGTCCAAGGGATCCTCCAGAAGCGGCTGAATGGGTGGGCAACACTACGTTTTTTCGAATGGATATTGTTCAGCCCGAGTATCACACGGAGCCCCAGCGAGACCCGAATGATGATCAATTTGATCCTGACCCGCACACTGAGGTACCACCATCGTTCAATGCCTTCGGCAGTGGCGGCACTGGTAAAGGGCGTGGCTCTGGCAAAGGCGGGGGCCGGTCATCCCCGGCTAGCGCCGGACGGAACACCAAGAAGCCGTCCCGTGCTGCTGGAGGTGGTCCTCCTGATGATGACCCAGATGATGATCCGGACGATGACGGTCAAGGAGGGCACGATCAGGGACGTCATGGAGGCAATGGAAGACGACCTCGTGACCAACCTGGACATCAACAGGACGATGAGGTGGGGTCACTGCAGACTCCGACTGAGGACTCCTCCATCAGGTCGGAGGAGCTGCAACAGCTGCTGGCCCGCAGCTGGAAAGGCACAGATCGCCCAAGGTCTTCATTGGGTTCGGTGCGCATGGAAGATTTCAGTGGCGATCGTGGGAAGTACCGCAACTGGCGCAGAGCGGTGCTCGCTCAACAGCAGCTCTACCGCCTGGAGAGCGCCGAGCTGGCGATGATGATTTACTTGAGCTGCAAGGGAGACGCCAGGGAGGTGCTCGACCAGATCACCATTGAGGAGATGGTGGCAGCTGGAGGCCTTGCGAAGTTGTGGCAGCTGCTCAACGAGGCCTACGGCGAGAGCTCGGACGAGTACTTCGAGCGGATCGAGGCGGAGTTCAACCAGTATCGGAGACAGCCTGGCCAGAGCATCGCGTCCTACCTCGGCCAGATCAAGAAGCTCAAGGCTCAGTACCTGAGGGAAGATGAAGGGACAATCCTTTCTGACCGAGCATGGGCGCAACGCTTGTTGGTGCGCGCCTCGCTGAGCAGGAGAGAACGGCTGGATGTCTTCTACTCGGCTGGGGGTGCCTATAACGCCAAGATGATCGAGAGCGCCTTGAGGCACCGTGCAAGCCGAGTGCACGAGGACGAGCGCCGGACTCCGGCCTTGGGATCAGCCTTCAGGAAGTTCCCCTTTGCGAGGCCGTCGTCTTCAAGATCGACCTCAGCCTCTACCCGAGCATCCACGGCGCCCTCAGTGGCCAGTTCGTTTCGCTCAAAGGGAGCGGGCAAGGGGCATCATCGAGTTCATCTGGCTGATGATGGCCCTGAAGATGAGGACATGGAGGACCTGGAGGGCGACGAAGAGGCCTATGAGACCTATTTGCAAGGCCTGGAAGAAGAGCCTGAAGACCTGGAGGACATCCCGGAAGAGACGGAGGACCCGGAGTTGGACGGTGCCCAGTACGACTCCGAAGATGAGGTCACTGCGGATCAGCTCAGGGAAGCCTGGGCAGCGGGATGGAAGGCAAAGAATCAGATGGCCGAGAAGAAGAAGTCCCGAAACTTCAGGAATGGCTCTGATCAGCGGCCAAGGGCAGCTCCGGGCCGCAAGACGGACATGACAGCCAAGAAGTTGGCGACGACCTGCAGCTCGTGCGGGCAGAAAGGTCACTGGAGGGGCGATTTGGTGTGCCCCAAGGTCAAGAGCGGCCAGGACAAACCCTTCCAGCCGAAGAACAGGGCAGAGCAGGGTGTCCACTTGGTGCAGTCGATTAAGGACATCCCGGTCCTCTCCGATGGCAAGAACCTGGTCGCAAAGGAAGTGAACTTCACCTTCATGGCCGCAAGAACCCCAAAGCCAAAGGAGCCACCGGCGAAGAAGAGGGCCGCCACGCACTGCTTTCACTGCGGGGAACAGGTTCAAGAGATCCACAAGTTCTGTCCTTTCTGTGGAACCTCTCAGGCCGCGGTGGACATGCGAGACGTCGGTGACGACCCGAAGCGTGGTTGGAGCCTGGTTGACTATGAGAGTGAAAGTGATCAGGATCCACCGCGCGGTGAGGGGTACAAGATACCGCTGGAGGCAGCGAAGGCAGCCGTGAGAGAAAGCCAGCGGACGAGCAGCAAGGGCACTGGGAAGTTGGTCTACATGCCGGCCCAGGCTATTAGCGCAGCGGTGCCCTACATGAGCAGGGAGGAGAAGCGCGACCTCATGGCAAAGCTGGTGGAGGAGGAAGATGACAGGGCGGGAGATATCCTTGCCCGCCATCAAAACTGGAGTGAGAATGTGACAGGTGCTGCGGGCTCTCAAGATCCGGTTCCACCATCAGGGGAGCTCCCGGCCGCCGTCAAGAAGAAGAGACTTGAGGTCTTTCGGGAGCAGCTCTACAACGAACAGGTCCAAGGAGGTCGGTTTCAGCCCTCCGAGATGAGCCCGACTCCGAGCCCAGTCCAGAAGAAGTGTGGCCATCCCTTCCACAAGCTACCATGGACTGCCAATGGCTCAGGTCACTATGCACGGTGTGGAGTTTGTGACCTCAAGAGCGTGGTGTACTGGTCATCCCGGCCTACGGTCCTGGTGGCCGGGAATGTGGATGAGAAGCACCAGGTGCTCACCATGGACTACCTCCCGAAGACCGTGCTTGCCATTGCCGACAGCGGTTGCCGGACTTCTGTCGGTGGGATACACTGGCATTCCAGATTCCAGCAGGAGTTGATCAAGCTGGGTTTGGAGTGGGAGGTCATCGCGGAGGAGGAGTATTTCAAGTTTGGAGCAGGAGCACCGGAGAAGTCGGTCAGGGGGTATCTTTACCCCGTCGGAGTGCATGGGCGCGAAAGCTTTCTGAGGATGTCAGAGGTGTCCGGATCAGCAGCGGATTGCCCAGGGCTAGTGAGCCCCTCTGAACTTGCCAGATGGGACGTCCGGCTCAACTTCAAGGAGCGGACGGTTCAGGCGATGGGCGTGACTAAGAAGATGCTGTTGACGGATACGCGGCATCCGGGTTTGGACCTGCTGCAGTTCCCGAACGTCCTGATGGGCACAAAGGACAGAGAACTAGCCGAGCTAAGGCAGCAGCTGGTGAACGCTCCTCAGACCTATGCATTTGTGACAGCAGCCGGAGAAGAAGAAGATCTGGGCACGGGAGATGAGAGCTCCGGCAACACCAGCGAGACGGAATCGGAGGAGCACGAGCTCAGGAAGCTCCTCTCGGACATGGAAAGCCTGGAGGTGCCGACGCGGGACTACATCCAGGTTTCGGAGAGCGAGGATGATTCCTACAAGGGCGCCTTCGATGGGGGCGAGTCGACAACCTCGCATGAGCTCGGTGTGGAATGGCCGGACTCGGACTCTTCGACAGAGGTGGAGGAGCGCAGTTACGATGAAGGCGAGGCCTACAAGGGTCCGGTCAAGGCCTTCACCAAGGGCCAAAAGAGAAAAGTCAGGGGCGGAATCCGCCAGCTCAAGGAGATTCACACCCTGGACAAGGTGAGGGGCAACCTCAAGCGATCGGAGCCCGTCACCTACAAGCCGAGGGTGCCTAAGAGGCCCTACAAGGTCCTGGAGATCTTCACCTGGACCCTTACGGTTACGATGCTGGCGGCCCAGTCGGGTTGGATTGGGTTGGAGCCAATCACACTGCCACACTGGGATCTGCGATTGCCACAGGAACGCAAGGCCGCACTCAACTATGTTCGGGCGGCCGACCCTGATCTCACCGTCATTGCTTGGCCATGCACTGTTTGGTCGCAGTTGCAGGGCCTCAACGTCAAGACGGTGGAGCACGCCGAGGCGCTGGCTGATCGGCAGATGATGGATCGGGACGATTTTCTCAGCTTTGTCCATGACGTGGCCAAGGATCGGCGAGCGTGTGGCAAGGCTGGGGTCGGTGAGAACCCGCTCACCTCAAGGGCCTGGAAGGAGCCGCTCATCAGGGAGGCTTTCTTGGGCCCGGATTGCGACGAGGTGCGCGTGGACATGTGTGCCTACGGTTTGAGGCGCCCAGACACTAAGGAGTCCCTGATGAAGCCCACCAAGCTGATCGGCACGAAGGAGATCGTGAGGGCATGCGAGAAGAGATGCAGCTGTGAA